TGAGATTAATGTGTGGTGTAATCTATGAGAGATTTCACTTCATGTACTCAAATGTAGGAATTACAATTAACATCATCTTACATTAAACTATAATTATCCTCTGAATAAATGCAATCGCATACAACAATGACGTCATTTCTGTGTGAAAATAGACACAAATCCAATAATATCGGACACATACGCACGCACATACACAAAGTCATTGTTGAGTTTTGGCATGCAGTTGTAAATGATCACGAAATGTGAATCTTCATCCATATTATGCGATTCACAATTACACAAAATAAAGCTCACAAGTGAAGAGTCCTATTCACATGCAATTTATTGGGTGAATAACAAAAACAACCACTAACAGTGACTAAGTAACTACTATTCAGTGTGTCATAATATTAGGTATGATTACTGACGTCATGAATCAGAATTGATGCGTTAGCGTTGTTATTGATAATTCTGACACGTATTCACGTGCATCGGTTGTTTTTGTCCCATTGATTAGATCATTAATCTCAACAATCAACAGAGACATTTCCATTACCAATAAATGTGCAATCCTCATCAGCATGACAAACGATTTTACGAAGAAGAAGAAGAAGAATCATGATGATGATGATGATGATGATGAAATTCTGCACGAAACATTTGAGGAAATCAAACTAATTCGTAGTCGATTTCCACTTCAAAATGTAGGCGTAATTATTGGATGATTCAACACACAGTTTATTACCAATACTTTCAACCACATCATTATTGGTTGATTGCCTTAGTCTGCATTACATACAACGTCGTCATACTGATGTACTGTCACTCTGGAAACTGTTTATTTCACCGAATTTACACATCGTTTAAACCTATGGCATATGAATAATCAGTATGAACAAATGGTCGATATTTTACTGTTGGTTGTCATAAGAAATAATAATGAAATACACGAGTCGAAGCACCCTGCTCCACTATGTTCAAAACACACACACGCCATCCACACAACCTCCACATTTTATCACTATCGATAATTACAAGTGGCATTAACCAGACTGTGATATCTTAATCGTGATGTATGACAGCATTTTCCAGACTCTTTACTCGCTTACCAAAACAACCGTGATTCTCCTCAATTTTATTCATCTACGACGTCACTTGTAACTACTTGATTGAAACACGTGTTTCCTCGTGGTGTGTGTAACACACCATATAATTACGACTATTTGAACACGTGACAATCGGTTTGATGAATAAATGTCATGAACATCATGAGATCATCGTGAATCAAGAGGAAAATGCTGCATCTCCGAATCACTGATTATCGGAATGAAGAAAGCGTGTATGAAGAGCGACTTCTAACCACGTGTCGACACAACGTCAAATTCTGTACAGTTCACAAATTATGCATTCACATAAACACTCATGCTCACATACATATACGTCCTTGTTCGTAAGTGTCTGAAATGTGTTCATCACGATAGACAGGACAGAATTTCCATAGGACGATTTTATTACGGACACGTGCTTTACGCATTCACTCGATATGCATATTCTCGAATCAAGTTCTGTAGAATGGATGGATGGATGGATGAATGGGTGGATAGATGGATGTGATAATAGCGACATTCTGAACAACAGGATGAGTAAATCTCTAGACTCAACTACTCAACAGATAAAGTGTTGACGTTTGAAGTGACAGGAACTGGGTTCGATTCACAGTGTGAAAATCAAAACACTGCAATTCAGAAACATCCATCTGACCACAATTCACATATTCTACTGTATTCACAGATTGTTTGAGGTGAGGTACTAGCAGTTGTTCAGTTGATCTGAGAAGACATATTTCATAGGTAGTCAGGATAATGGAGAATGCATGTGTCGGTTATTAAATTTCATTTTAATGTTTGTGTTTTAGTAACAACCAAGGTGTTATCAATCACTGACATGAGTGATGTTAATACATACCATTGAACAATACGTGTGCCTTGATTTTACACTCATTTATTTTCAAGTGTTTTTTGTCGAATGAAAATTATTCGATTTTGTTCTTTTATGTAACTGTGTTTGTTGATTCAATTTTTAGCTTTAAATCTTCGATATTATATATTTTGTCTTGGTAATGATTTATAGTCCAACTACAGAGTGCCTCAGTGATTTAAATTTATTTACACTGTGGTTTGTCTATATTGGTATTCGAGAGAACCGTTTTGTTATTTATATAGCATTACTGTAATTGCTAACTTAATTCTACTCATTTTCATCACACTCAATTAGCTTGATGGCATATTCTTTCAGTTCAGGCACTATTTTTACTTGAAAACATTATCTGAGCTCTTTGTAAGCAATGATGGATAGTGGCTAGCAGTGGAATCCAAGACGCGCGTTTCGTCCTATTTGGGACCCGTCAGCTGGATGTACCTGCATCTCAGAGAGTTGATGTTCACTCTGGGACTCGAACCTCTGAATCCTGATAGTCACTTGCTTTTGTATAACGCGATGGCGTTTGAAGTGAGTGGTACTGGGTTGGAGTCACAGAGTGAACATCAACTCCGAGGTGCAGGTAAATCTAGCCGATGAGTCCCAAATAGGACGACAACGCACGTCCTGGATTCCACTGCTAGCCACTAACCATGATTGCTTCCAAATAGCTTGTGAAATAAGGTATTATCGAGGCATACGCACAGTATGCAGATATGCCAATAACAGACTGATCAATTGCAGTCTTAAACCTCAATGGGAAGATACATCCAAACAATGCCAAGCGAATTATCTGAGCTCTTTGGTAAGTGATCTTCTGTTGAAACTATAAAAACAATGAAAATTTAATTGTTTTTCTTGGTCACAGTTTGTATCATTCACATTTGGTTTTGGCAAATGATGATTGAATAGTTACTTAGGAATTAATGAAGAATATTTTGGTAAAAGTATAATATGTTGACTACTTTAGACCATTTATCTGCTACTCAAAATACCGTATTTGTTTATAAAAGATTTATAAAAAAATAATGAAATTACAAATGATCACCATTTTTGGCGAAGATTAAGAATTAACAGTTATTTCATGGTTAAGAATTATGGTTAGGGTTAAGAAGTCTAAGGTTAGGAGAGTTATAAAGTTTAGGCTAGCGTAAAGAATACTTTTTAGGCATACAAATACACTCGACTATACGTTGGATCATATGAAATACGTTCAATTATTAATTAGCTTTCCAGATACTATCTACTTCCTGAGCATTTATTATTTTCAGCTTACATATCGTGTTACATTCATTGTGTGGTTGTACCTCAGATTTGTTTATCAGTTTCATGCATCTTAAAAACTAAATATAGACAATTCTTACTTAGCTTCTAATTAGATACGAGTTATCAGTCTTCGTATTTGTTTTTTGCGTAAAATTCCAAGAGGCGATATCATAAATCTGATTCGTATGTTACGGTAACATAATTTCACCATTATTATTAACTGATTATATGGAATTAATAGAGCTACATCAATCTTTAAATTCGTCAGTGACTTACTTACCTGAAGCCTGTTGTAGCAAATCCATTGAAAAACGTGAATTAAGTGGCTTCAGGATTTGTATATTAGTTACCTACCTTTCGCTTAAAGCTTATGATTGATTCTTTTAAGGACATTGTTCATCTGATAACACTGACCATTTTCACGCACTTGGGTATTATTTTTATAAATATGATATTTATTAATCACGATTTTAACAATATTTCGCGTTCATGAGTAGAGAATATATGATTTGAAACAATTTAGTTCAGCTTATAGATAAATTTTACGACACTAAAGTTACTTTAATAGTTGGCTATACCAAAGTGTACGTAAAAAGAAAAGTTCAGAAAAATATGTCATATGATTCGACACCGATCTCATTTATTACCTATTCGCTATGAAGCAATTTTTAAAGATAAACCATAATACTGTACTCACGAAATTTTCGTTAAGTTGTTTAATAATGTATATTTTAATTATTATTCTTGAAATTCATCTATATGAAAACGACAACTTCGTTTCACTCAGCCTAAAGGAAATCTGATCCTATCGATTTTAATTTCCTGCACATTTCTCAACTATTAATGAATGATTTATTGATAATTCACAAATTGAGATCATGAATGGATCAATATCAGACCACCATTGAAAATCTGGAAGCAGTGAACTGCCTTTTCGTTCTAGTATGGGTTCGAATTCCGTGTGCAGGTTCGTAGGTGCACACTGCTCAGACGTCCCATATTAGGACGAGACGGCCTTCCACTCCTTCCAGATTTTCAATGATTGTCTAACATGGATCCATTCATAATCTCAATCAAAACTCAACAATCTTCACAGCCTTATAACTGATCATTCACAAATTGGTTAACTTCAATAAATAAAAAAAACGAAACACTTTGAACAGAAAAAATATATAATATTTCATGAGTACTCATTATATGTTGACCAGTCTATAAAACTTTCTAACTGTTTACTATTAATAATGTTAGAATTAGAATTACGTTCAAGAATTCTTACTTTACTGATGAAATCTCATAATAAATTTGTGAAAAAAAAGAAAGTATTTCATTTAAAAATGAAACAGTCTCAGGTTTTGTGAACCATGATGGTGTGATCGACAAAATGTAATTTACAAAGTATGGTTTACTAAAGGAATTTAACCTTAAAATGAAGATTTAGCATAGAAACTAAACGAAATCAAAGTAGATATTAGTAAATTTGTTTAATAATAACTGAACAAAGAAATTATTACACGTGAAATCTATCTTATTATACTTTTACCATTATTTCACTTCATTAATGAAATTCCAAAATAAATTTCTAAAAAAACAAAAAACAAAACTGTACAGTAAGAGGTGTGGTTGTGTTTAAAAGTGTTCATTCACATAGTTAACAACAATGACTCTGATACTAGTACAGCAATTATAACTGTATGTTTATTTTATTCATAAGTATACATGCTCACAAACAAATTCACAAAACACATAAGTGAACATCAAAAAAAAAATTAAAACATAATAAAAACCCTATATAAGTAGTGTGATATCATTTGATTATAATAAAATATAGAACACAATTACTGCATAAAACTATTCAGGTAAAAAAAGGTAATGATAAAGTTTATAAATGTATACATTGATATCTCAATAATTCAATTCATAGGCCTTGAGAACATCGAGCTAAAAAGTCAATTGTCATTTATTTAAAAAAAAAAAGAAGCGGAAAGCCAAAAACAGTCATGGGAGAAAGCCGAAACACAAAAATTTTCATTTCACTCAGTTTAGCAATAGCGATATGCTTTACAGTGGTAGCAATTGCTGAAGATAAAACCCTTACAGGTGAGTGTTATATTATTATGAAGTGTTTTATTTTTAATTTCAATGAATTAAATTGTACTGAGAAAAGGGTAACATACTAGTAGTTGTATTGCTTTCATTTAAAGTCTTTTTTTAAACTAGGCTAGGTTTTAAAATTTCCACAGTTAGATTCACAGACCAAATCTCTAATGAAAACCTGGGAGCACTAAAACACAGTTTCGTCTTAATCTGTAACATATCGACAGTGCTTATCCACAGCTACTCACTCGGTAATCGAACCCAGGACTTTCAGTCTCCAGTAAAACATAATGAATGGTTTTCTGCAAAGTTGAATAAATAAGAAATATCGAGATAATTCTCTGAGTAAGAGCTTCAGCAAAGCTTAACTATAAACCTCACAAATAACCAAAGAACTGTTTACTGTCTCAGTAGTTGTTATGTCGATAAATAATTTATTCCATTTGAATCATATTGAGTTTCTGTAACACTATTTTCTTTTGTATGTTAGGATTATATAATTTAGAATCTCATTAACCGAATAATTATTCAAATCACTGGTTTAACTAAAGCATCGTACTGATTGTTTATTTAATGCGATACAAGTTAAAAGTAATTGCTTTAATAGTAATTAATATGTATTCGAACAACATACTGTAGAAAGAGACTACCATTAAAGTGCGTGAACCTCGTTAACCAGAATATATTCCATTTGTTATGAATTGAACTAATTTACAAGCTCACTTTCATCATTAAATGATGAGATGCATTTTAAAACTTGAATCTAATTCAAAATTAAAACGTTTATTGTTATGCATAAACATCAATGCAAAATTTAAGCGGTTACATGATTAGTGATTTATTGAAATATTTTTTAGTATATGCTAAAATAAGAGAATTCTGTTTTGATGTCATATTTGTTTTAATAAACGGTGTAGTGCAGAAATAAAACGAATATCAGGAATAAGGAAACATAAGTATCCTATAGTATTACTTTGTTCTCAATATTTCTAATTTGTAAAATGAAAAGGATCATCTTATAGTGTTTCACAGCTAAACAAAAATGTGTTAGTTTAACCACCATTTCGACAGATCAAATTTGAAACTGAATACCTGCAATATTGTGCATAGTAACTTATTAATAAGTTGTCAGGTTTATTGATATTGTTATGTGAAATCATGTTTGTCACCACATTGACACATTTCCTATTTCACAACAAGTTTGTTAGCTCATAGTAAACAGGAATTAGTTTCAAACGATATTAGGTTCAAAGTTCACAATATCTTTTTCATCATGAATGAAGTTTCAATCTCTTCATAATACTTTAAATAGTTGTAAGTTTTGACAGTATTTGGTGTTAATTATCACCATTTAATAATACAATAACATAATAGCGAATCATAGTAACAATAATTTTCCGCTAGTCAAATATTAATTGCTGAAATTAATGATAAGGTGAATTAGTCATTAACAGAATTCCTATGCAAGACAAACATCTTTACAATAAACAGATTTACAAAATATTAAGACCAAAATAAATTCTCATTTGTTTGTTCTCGATTTCTGATGTGTCGGAATTGGAAACAACGTGTCAATTCTATAAAATAAATATTTTATAGAAAAGCGATGCATTTATATGGTGACATATGTTGTAAGACACCTTAAAATAACCATAATAATGAACGTGAGACTAATGAAAATAAGTTAAGTTGAATCATAAATTATTGTGCTAAGTTTTTTAAAAAGGATATTTAATTATAATTTATTTTGATGGTTTGTGACAAATTTAACAATTCCATTAACATAGCACAAGATTTGACGACAATTTCACTAATTTATTATTCATAAAACGAAACACCATGATCAATATGTGTAAACTCGAGTCACTCATATTGTTCAATGGTATGTATTAACATCACTCATGTCAGTGATTGATAACACCTTGGTTGTTACTAGAACACAAACATTAAAATGAAATTTAATAACCGACACATGCATTCTCCATTATCCTGACTACCTATGAAATATGTCTTCTCAGATCAACTGAACAACTGCTAGTACCTCACCTCAAACAATCTGTGAATACAGTAGAATATGTGAATTGTGGTCAGATGGATGTTTCTGAATTGCAGTGTTTTGATTTTCACACTGTGATTCGAACCCAGTTCCTGTCACTTCAAACGTCAACACTTTATCGGTTGAGTAGTTGAGTCTAGAGATTTACTCATTCTGTTGTTCAGAATGTCGCTATTATCACATCCATCTATCCATCCATTCATCCATCCATCCATCCATTCTACAGAACTTGATTCGAGAATATGCATATCGAGTGAATGCGTAAAGCACGTGTCCGTAATAAAATCGTCCTATGGAAATTCTGTCCTGTCTATCGTGATGAACACATTTCAAACACTTACGAACAAGGATGTATATGTATGTGAGCATGAGTGTTTATGTGAATGCATAATTTGTGAACTGTACAGAATTTGACGTTGTGTCGACACGTGGTTAGAAGTCGCTCTTCATACACACTTTCTTCATTCCGATAATCAGTGATTCGGAGATGCAGCATTTTCCTCTTGATTCACGATGATCTCATGATGTTCATGACATTTATTCATCAAACCGATTGTCACGTGTTCAAATAGTCGTAATTATATGGTGTGTTACACACACCACGAGGAAACACGTGTTTCAGTCAAGTAATTACAAGTGACGTCGTAGATGAATAAAATTGAGGAGAATCACGGTTGTTTTGGTAAGCGAGTAAAGAGTCTGGAAAATGCTGTCATACATCACGATTAAGATATCACAGTCTGGTTAATGCCACTTGTAATTATCGATAGTGATAAAATGTGGAGGTTGTGTGGATGGCGTGTGTGTGTTTTGAACATAGTGGAGCAGGGTGCTTCGACTCGTGTATTTCATTATTATTTCTTATGACAACCAACAGTAAAATATCGACCATTTGTTCATACTGATTATTCATATGCCATAGGTTTAAACGATGTGTAAATTCGGTGAAATAAACAGTTTCCAGAGTGACAGTACATCAGTATGACGACGTTGTATGTAATGCAGACTAAGGCAATCAACCAATAATGATGTGGTTGAAAGTATTGGTAATAAACTGTGTGTTGAATCATCCAATAATTACGCCTACATTTTGAAGTGGAAATCGACTACGAATTAGTTTGATTTCCTCAAATGTTTCGTGCAGAATTTCATCATCATCATCATCATCATCATGATTCTTCTTCTTCTTCTTCGTAAAATCGTTTGTCATGCTGATGAGGATTGCACATTTATTGGTAATGGAAATGTCTCTGTTGATTGTTGAGATTAATGATCTAATCAATGGGACAAAAACAACCGATGCACGTGAATACGTGTCAGAATTATCAATAACAACGCTAACGCATCAATTCTGATTCATGACGTCAGTAATCATACCTAATATTATGACACACTGAATAGTAGTTACTTAGTCACTGTTAGTGGTTGTTTTTGTTATTCACCCAATAAATTGCATGTGAATAGGACTCTTCACTTGTGAGCTTTATTTTGTGTAATTGTGAATCGCATAATATGGATGAAGATTCACATTTCGTGATCATTTACAACTGCATGCCAAAACTCAACAATGACTTTGTGTATGTGCGTGCGTATGTGTCCGATATTATTGAATTTGTGTCTATTTTCATACAGAAATGACGTCATTGTTGTATGCGATTGCATTTATTCAGAGGATAATTATAGTTTAATGTAAGATGATGTTAATAGTAATTCTTACATTTGAGTACATGAAGTGAAATCTCTCATAGATTACACCACACATTATTCTCAATTAGACACTCAGTGAGAACGAAAACGCCTTGGATGGATGTTTTGTTGGTGTATGAAACTGTTCAGCAGTACCTACCCACAACCTCACAACGATCGATCTCATGGTGTTGAAACCTGTTTACGAATACTTGACATTTAGACTACTGATATGTTGCACTGCCACCTTCCACCAAACACGTTTTCTCAAAGATTTCAACAGTCACGTTTTCAAATACTTCCTCTACAGTATCTATTCTACATGTGACGATAGTCGGAATAATAACAAAGAAAATTTTCTTTTCAACGAAGCTGGTTACTTAATTTGTTCGATCGTATTTATAAATGTTTGGTAAACTTATAGGTGTTAAGAAGAGTAGAAGGAATTTACATTATTTAGGTTTCTGTATCGCAAGTATCCAATGCAGGTTGCATATTTCTAACCGACAACCTATTTTCATTGTCCTATTCTCCTCATATCTCTACGCCGCTGTGCAACGCTCAATGAATACTTGAGATCTCAGAACACTTTACAATGTAACGGCTTTCTATCCTTCTGTACACACATATATTTTTAAAATCACAATGTATGCGTTTGTATGGCCTAAATAAATGATTTAGTTAAGAAGAATACTTTCTTCCCAAATTTTTTTTGTTCTATTGGGTTTATTCGAATATATGTTAGTTTGAAATACACTAGTTATCTTTTATTGCCTAATTCCACAATATACGTACTATTTATTCATGTTGATGTTCAGTTTTTTTTATTGAATTAATTAATCAGTAAAACGTTTCTTCTAATTCCTCGTCAGTGTATTGTTACCACGTTTTCCTAGTACACTTGGAAATGCTCATTTTTTTCGTTTACTGTTATAAGCCGAACATAAATCAAGTTCGTTGAAAGCATTTCAAGCATTCTACTTCCTCGCTCTCATCGCTTTCATTGTGGCGCTCGTACTATATGCAGTGACTATTTTCACAGAAACTCGAAAAATCTTGAGCATTGGATTTTTTGTCGCGATTGTAGTAGGATGTAAGTAATTTTTACAGTTATTGTTATAACAGTCTACGATGTTATTGTAGCGATGACATGTCTTTCGAGACAATTGTGTTGTTTGTGGATTGATAATAAGTTTTCATTATTGCATTTACTTTGTTTCTCTAGTGACCGATTCTACTCATTAGACAGAAAAACATATGAGTGTTGTATTTTAATGACATCGGTGAATTAATAATAAGGACTAAATATTTCTGACAGATTCTTTTAGAATAAATACAACTGTACATTTGTAGTAAGTGAAAAATTTTACAGTTTGATTATACAGACTAGTTGATCGTTGCTAGTCCTATGACGAACAGAAAAGTAAATGAAGAACGTAACTTTCCCACCAACTGATCAAACAAATCCATTTATTTTCATCAGAAATGGATGGTGACAAGCAGTGAAATCCAGGATGCACGTTTCATACTATTCGCGTTTCGTCAGCTGGATGTTCCAGCAGCCGAATTTATATTCACTCCTAAACTCGAACCAAGTGCCTTCCAGCTCAATCACGATCACGTTAGCCATTAAGCTGCTGAGTTCTGGATTCCACTGCTAACCACCACCCATCTCTTCTTAAACTGCTTGTGACTTACTGTTAGTATCAAGACAATGCACACAGAATGCACGTACTCTAAAAGAGACTGATCAGTTGTAGTCCTAAACATCGATGGCGACACCCAAACAACCAATATATATATATATATATATATATATATATATATGCGTTAAAATTGTTATTCGAAATTCAGAAACAGACCATATTGTTAGACGGAGTTCTGGAATTTCCACATTTGAAACTATCATTCTTCAATATTATAGATTTTAATGACCATACCTATGTAGCTGTCGCTAGTTATACTAAGCATTTATAAAAATCGTCTACTGCGCCATCAGAATCAATTGAATCTTTATCACAGGCATTGTTTCTTCACATGGCGAAATTACACCCTTTCAGATAACAAATAACCCACTTCATCGCCACTGTATCATTTTTATACACGGCTGCATAATTTCAAGCGAAGCCAGAACACTCACTGACATCCAGTATAGAATAGCAGAGACAAATCAACCGAATTCTTCAGATTATCGACGAACTCAATGTCACTTTCAAGATTGATAATATTCACATTGTTTGTAGAGTACAAGAAAATTAGAGTATAAATAATGTATTATGAAGACTTATAACAAACACTTTACAAAAGATAACGATGAATCCACTAGTCTTTTGAAATACTAAAAGTTCCTCTCTATATCTGATACTATCATTCATAATCATTTAGATATTTTCTGCAAAGTATAACTCAAGAAAAGTAGCTCGCCTGTTATAGTTAGTACTGATTAGTGAGGATTGTAAATTCGTTAACTACTTAACGATAAATTGTTGCAATATTCTGTTTTTTGTTCAGGTATATGCTGTATTATCAGCGTGATTATGTTTTATCAAAACTATTCCAACTCTCACATGAGTGTTCGGCCACATTCCAGCTCATGGTTATTCGGCGTTATTTTGGCTTCGTTTCAGCTTGTTGTATTCGTATTCATGTATATTTTCTACTGAGAAGTGACTGGTTTTCATATTTACAAATCATGAATGTTATGAAGATGGAACATTATTTACCTAGTATTAAACTTAATTAAATGAACAAATTGATAAAACTCCAGGTTTTTCACATAATTTTATTTTGATAAATCATGAACTTCACGAATGAAGTAAACAAAAATATTTCATGAATGTTTTTGAAGTAAATCGTTTTATTAATCTCAAGTTTTACTTCGATTAAATTTGTGAGATCAGTTTTAACAGACTGAGTTAACTAAAATATGACGTTAGGCAATCAATCATTCACTAATAATAACTCAACAAAAGGTGAATATCGAGTCAAACATATAAACCTCTATAGAATATCCGTAACAGGAATATTTCACAAGGAACAATCGAAGAATAAGTGTCCCATAAGAGATCAGTTTATCTTACTGCAATGTGTTCATGTGTGTATCATAAGAATGTTATTTAACGGATTTGGTATCATGAGAATACTGTAGTTCTCTTCGAAAGATGGAAGTAGTTTTTTCATAAATGATAAATCACTAACGGAAAATTTTGTTCTAAAAGAATGAAAGATATTAAGAATTCTTATAAATTAGAAGTGTTCCTGTGTTCTTAATCAGTATTCACTGAACAGCGATATACACATTTATCCACTACAGTTCATGCTGTTTAAGTCTTCCACGAAGATATCAAATTCAAATTCATTTCCATAACACTATATTCGATTATCCATTTTGTGGCGTACTAGTTAAATTAAGGTTAAATTGAACTATGGATGAATGAATTCCAAGTGAAATACATACTTGATTCACATACTGTTACTCAGTAGTAACAGCTTGAGCACTAAAGTCCTAGTAGAATATTGGACGTCATTAGTAAATCAGTTTCTGTATATAAATTTGTCCTAATCTCACCGATGTCTAGGTTTCGCAACATTAACTCACAGAGGATGAGATTCGTGACTGACATCAAACTACATGGGGGCTAATAGTCGAAAAAATATATTCAGATAGAAACACATATTGGTAAGTTATCGTCTGAGGATGCTGTGTCAAATTGTGTTCAGGGGGGATATTCATAAAACGAATGCCTTTGAATTCAGTACAGAAGTGCTCAAGAGGTGATGGTTACCGCGTTTCAATATTATGACTTCAGTTTTATTCTTTCTGAAGATCTCACAATCGTATTTAAGTAAAATGATAGCTTCGCTTTATCAAATTGTGTTGAGGAGATTCGTAATAATTAAGCTGAAAATAATAGTGTTCAGGAATCTGTGAACGGATAGTATCATAGCAATTAGGCCCCGAGTTATTTTCAGACATCAAGGAGGAAAAATCAGTTGAAAACCTGAGACTTTTACAAATATGTTTGTCTCTCCTGACCGTTCGAGAATCGTTATAATATAACAGATTAATAATGTTGCTACTAATTTGGTGAATGCATGTGTTTAACAATCACGTATTAATTAATCATTTCATCTGTATATTCAGCTGAACCATTTCGGTGAGGTTGGTGTGAGACATGAAATAGATGAGTAGATTACAAGTATCTGGTCATGAATACCTTCGGTACGTCGTTTGACTGTTGTCAGACAAGTGAATGTGTAGTGTTAAGACTAGAAGTAGAATACCAAATAGGAGAGAAGTCACGTGTGGAGATTATGGTGTGTGAGAATCATGTACCTTACGCTTAGCTATGGTCTGCCTCAATGCACCATGTTCACTGCAAGAAGAGGGAGGTGGAGAAAATGTATAGTATTCAGGCTAAGACCAAGTGCCAGTCTAAATCATCTGACCATTAGGATGCAGAATATGGGTGATGGTAGGCTTTCTGGTCAGTGTAATAATGTATCGATAACTATGACCATTCAAATTATGTTGAGATGTGTTACAATACAACGGTATATTCAGAAAGAGATTTTGCGAAATTGATTACAAATTAGTAATGCATATTAATGTTCCAAAACGAGTAGTTTTGCGATGAAATAGATAAGTTGATGTTAACTAAAAGCGGAAGGTCATGGTTGTATTGTTTGAATGTTGTGAAAAGTTAGTATATCAGTGGCATCAAAAGGTTTAGTAGAGCCATGGCTTAGTTTCTAATCGACAGACAACTTGAAACACTTAAAGATGATGAAAAAGCATAGAAATTCAAGGCTGATTAGGTTTTTCTAAACCATAGCTACTAAACACTGAAAATGTAAATTACATATTGGAAACAAAGTAGTTATCAGTTGCTTTTTATTCTGATAATAATGATTTTCACCGTTCTTGTGACTTTTCTCCAGTAAAAAGGTGGATGGAAATTCGATTATAATCTAAGCTCTTTATTACTTTGTTTCTTCATTAATATCATTCCATATAATTATTTTACGTTCATATATATTTTAAGTTATATCATTTTTTATTGCTACACAAATCGACTCTCCGATTTTCTCCTCTGGTTATAATATTTATTTTAAAGCCTAAATATATAACAAACTGATACTGGCAGGAAGTTAATTAGAAATCAAAGAGCATTGGAATCCTTTCGCTTTAGGTCAAGAATGCTTGTTGATTTCCGAGTATGACCGGCACATGAGCTCACACTAAAACGTTACAATCCCTGTGGTAAGAACAATACCACTAAACTGTTAAGTTAGATTTTACCATGCCTTAAACCCTACTTAGATGGATTTCCAGTATAATGCCATCCTCAGTCAATGTCAACTAACTGGTCGGTCGGCGACCTCCGAAAAACACCATATATTGATAACTATCATGTGCTTACTAGTGAATGGAAATTTTCGTAGTTCTAGTGGAAAACCGTAACCAGTATCAATCAGTCAGCTACAATATAGGACCAGGCACATATATGCATCAGTTCAAGTTGCCATAATTCCGCATGGAGCCCCTCTAGAGCTACCGCCGGTCCCAAGCCCTAATAAATGAGGAGGGTTGGGCATGAGGTTAGCGACCCCATCCCGTAGAAAAATAACTCGCTAAAGAAGTGCTAACCACAAAAAATTATCCAAACCATTTAAACTCTGCCCTGAGAGTCGGAGGGTCTTCATTTAGAAGAGTTATGACGCCTCATGGTGGAAGCCGAGTTCCTTCGGAAGTTACGAAGCTGGTGCCCCTTCTGACAACCAGAGCAACTATTTATTTAGGTACATGGAATGCTCGTACAATGTGGGAGACCAAGAGAGTCTTTCAAATTGCTGCAGAAATGAGGAGATATAACCTGGAGGTGCGTGAGATTAGTGAAACACATTGGACGCAAGTTGGACAACAACGATTAGTTTCAGGGGAGCTTCAGTTATACTCTGGCCATGATGAAGAAAACGCACCGCATTCACAAGGAGTTGCATTGATGCTGTACAAACAGGCACAAAACGCACTTATAGGATGAGAACCCCATGGACCAAAGATCATCAAAGCTTCCTTCGAAACAAAGAAAGAGGGTATTACAATGAACGTCATCCAATGCTATGCGCCCACCAACGAGTACAATGAAGATGTTAAAGATCGATTCTACGATAGGATGCGGTCAATCGTCGAAAAGTGCCCAACAAAAGACCTGAACATTCTGATGGGAGACCTAGGTGCCAAGGTTGGAATGGACAACACCAGATATGAAGACATCATGGGACGACATGGACTGGGAGAAAAAAACACAAATGGTGAGAGATTTGCAAACCTATGTGCCTTCAATAAACTGGTCATAGGCGGAAATATATTCCAACATAAACGCATTCGCAAAATCACATGGACTTGGCCGGACCACACCACGCAAAACCAAATCGACTTTATCTGCATTAACAGAAAGTTCAGGAGGACGATGGGAGACGTGAGAGCCAAGAGAGGAGCTGATATAACATCAGATCATCACTTGCTGGTCACCAAGATGAAACTGAAACACAAGAAGTACTGGACAACAGGGTGGATAGTATCACAAAAGTTCAGTACGAATTCTCTTCGGGATACTGACTGACTGGGATACAAGAAGCACCATCACAAGGAATGGATCACTGTTGATACGCTGGATAAGATTCAAGAAAGGAGGAACAAGAAGGCAGCAATCAATACCAGCCGAACAAGAGCAGAAAAAGCCAAGGCACAAGCTGAAAACACAGAAGTAAACAAGCAAGTGAAGAGGAACATCAGAACTGACAAACGTAAATATGTGGAAGATTTAGCAATGACGGCGGAAAAGGCTGCAAGAGAAGGAAACATCGGAGAACTGTATGACATAACAGAGAAACTCTCTGGAAATCAAAGTAAACCAGAACGACCAGTGAAAAGCAAGGAAGGCAAGGTAATCACTAACATTGAAGAACAACGAAACAGGTGGGTAGAACACTTCAAAGAACTCTTGAATCGACCAGCCCCACTGAACCCACACAACATCGAAGCAGCACCCACGGACCTCCCGATCAATGTTGGCCCACCAACACTTGAAGAAATCAACATGGCCGTCAGACAAATCGAGTGGAAAAGCAGCAAAACCAGACAACATTCCAGCAGAGGCACTGAAAGCAGGCGTAGCGGTAACTGCAAGGATACTCCACATTCTCTTCAATAAGATTTGGGATGAGGAACAAGTGCTAACACACCGGAAAGAAAGACTTTTGTGGCCCAGGAATCTGGCTCCATTTAGAGCGTACAAAAGATTGTATGGATGTTTGTTATCGCCTATTCTCGTATATCATCGTCGACTTAAATCACGTTAGTCAATAACGGAATTTAGATAAATCAAATAACGAGAATGGGATTTTGAATACATATATTTTGTATGTAAAGTGAATGTAATAGAACAGAGCAAAAATGACGCGCAGGGACGATGGCTGGGAAGCCAACTCCCATTTCGATGAAACGAGACTCAATATTTATAGTCAGACAAAATAAAGCTACAGACATGTGATTAATAGGATAAGAAGGGCACACACATATACGCTCATATAAAAACAGTCTAGATTGATAAGCGAATAAATAACAAGGTCAAAGTATGGCTCGAGTAGAATGAATAAAATGGGATGTCCGGAAGCTAGAACAAGGTATATGGGCTTGGCATAATAACTGACACTACAAGACACTTGATCAAGATACCAAAGAAAGGCGATCTCAACAACTGTGACAACTATGGAGGCATCACTCTTCTCTCAAAACCGGGAAAAGTCTTCAACGGGGTATTGTTAAACAGAACGAAGGACTTCGTAGACGCACAACTTTGAGACCAACAGACTGGATTCCGTAAGGATCTATCGTGTACAGACCAAATCACAACACTACGGATCATTGCGGAACAATCAACTGAATGGAATTCATCACTCTACATCAACTTCAATGACTATGAGAAAGCATTTGATAGAGTGGACAGGGAAATACTATGGAAGCTTCTTCGACACTACGGCGTACCTGAGAAAATAGTCAAATCATACGGAACTCTTATGATGGATTAAACTGCAAAATGCTGCACGGAGAACAGCTCACAGACTCATTCGAAGTAAAGACCGGTGTCAGACAAGGTTGCTTACTCTCACCCTTTCTCTTTCTCCTAGTGATCAACTGGATCATGAAGACGTCAGCATCTGGGGGGAGCACGGGATACAGTGGACAGTTAAGATGCAGCTGGACGATCTAGGCATCCCAAATGATCTGGCTCTTCTATCACACACGCAACGACAAACACAGAAGACGACCAGTGTAGCAGCAGCCTCAGCAGCAGTAGGCTTCAACATACACAAAGGGAAAGCAAGATTCTCCGATACAACACAGCATGCATCAATCCAATCACAATTGACGGAAAAGATTTGGAAGATGTAAAAACCTTTACATATTTGGGCAGCATTATTGATGAACACGGTGGATCTGATGCAGATGTGAAAGCGCGGATCGGAAAAGCAAGAGCAGTATATTTACAAGTGAAGAACATCTGGAACTCAAATTTTCTGTTAACCGACAGCAAACTTGGAGAACAACAAAAGCCATCATCTAGAAAATACAAGTGTTTATTAAAAGTTGTCTGAGAAAAATACTTCGGATCGGTTGGCCAGACACTACCAGCTAAAACCTACTATGGTAGAGAAGAAACAAGATCCCAGCGGAGGAAGAAATCAGGAAGAAGCGCTGAAAGTGGATAGGACACTCGTTGAGGAAAGCACCCAAGTGCGTCACAATGCAAGCCCTCACTTGGGATTATCAAGACCAAAGGAGGAAAGGAAGTCCAAAGAGCACATTACGCTGATAAATGGGGACAGATATGAGAAGAATGAACAACGATTGGGTAGAACTGGAAAGGAAGACTCAGGACAAGGTGGGTTGGAGAATGCTGATCTACGGCCCATGCTCCATTAGGAGAAACACGCGTAAGAAAGTAAGTAAGTCAAGTTGACATGCCTCATTAGCATAGCAAGACGAACACCGGATTCATAGAAACAGTTAACTCACTGATGTAAGGATATAGTATAGGAAGAAAGCATTAGTTTGTAGAAGGCATAAAGTAATCATAGTTTAAAAGAAGACAAAGAGTGTATAAAAATTCGCCCCTGTGATCGATTCTGAGCCATGTCACCCACAGTCTCCAACCATTGGTTACGATAGTCACGAGGACCCCAACAAAGTAGTTTGTATCTACCAACACGTCTAAGACTAGAAGTCATGGTAATCGGTGTTCAGGCACACGTAACACGTGGCCCAACCATCTCAGTCGATGAAGATTCACAACCTCATAAACAGAGTTACCACCATTCCCTAATACCCTAAGCCTAACCTCACTATTACGTACCCGATGATCCCAGCAGATGCGAGCAATATTTCTAAGACATCTGTGGTCAAATACCAGTAACTTACGAGTATCTTCTACTCTTAATGGCGATGTTTCGCAGCCGTAAAGTAGAACAGAACAAACTACCGAGCAGTACACTCATCCCTTAATTGATAAACAGATATCTCACCTTCGCCATACGTGACGTAAGTTGGTAAACGTCAATCGAGCTTTTCGAATCCGTGTAGAGATCTCGTCAGACACCAATCCATTAGGGCTGATCAGACTTCCAAGATAAGTAAAGTTGTCTACGCGTTCGACTACTTCACTCCCTATCATTAGTTCAGGTGTTGACGCAGGCCAGTCCTGAAACAACAACTTGCATTTAGAGGGGGAGAAGCGCATTTCAAACATCCTGGCATTGTTGCTCAGTGCTACCAACAGATACTGCATTTTATCAGTGTCTTCACCAAACAGGACTATATCATCTGTGTATTCTAATTCGATAAGTGGACCTCTTGGTAGGAGATCAATGCCCGAAAACTCAGTCGATGAGGGCATTGTTTCCATCAGTATGTCTATGACGAAGCTAAACAAAAGTGGCGAAAGTGGACAGCCTTGCCAGACACCACTTGAGGTTGCAAAAGCAGATGACAGTTCGCTGTAAGCTCTCACTCGAGTAAAGAGCCTTCACAAGGTTTATGTACTTCTGAGGTACGCCTTTCAATGACACACTGCCACAGAGCCTCTCGGTCCACGGAGTCAAGTGCTGCTTTTAAATTAAGGAAAACTATCATTGTCGGACGCCGATAAGCATGTCTGAGTTCTAAAACCTGACGAATAGTGAATACGTGGTCGATGTAGCCACGACCACGTTTGAAGCCAACCAGATTTTCTCGTGTTTGAAGTTCACGAGTCTTTGTTAAGCGTCCGACAATTATTGAGGCTAGTATTTTGGATGCTATATTAGTCAAACTGATCTCCCTATGGTTATCACAGGATGATTTGGACCGCTTCTTATATATTGGGACAACCAGTGACTGCGACCAGTTAGATGGAATTACATTCAGTTCCCAGAGTTAGGCTAAAATATTAATCAACCTAATCGCTAAAACTGGATCACCATCCTTAAACACCTCTGGAGCCAATCCATCCGGACCAGCTGCTCTTCCTCGTTTCAGATTAACTATATTTTTTTGGACTTCCATCGGAGTCGTGAGCGGCTACTTCAATGTTTCATTTAGGTTGTTTGGGAATGGTGGGTTGGTGTAAAATAGCTGAAGGCCAGCTGAACTGCTCCTTAAGGTGTTTCACCCATCGTTCTCAAAGTCTGAACTGGGAGAAGATAAGTGTCGTCTTTTTCTAAGATAGCCTCACGCTTGACCTTTTAGTTCCAGTTTCTTCTATGAATCTGAAGAGTTGTGTTGTGTTCCTCATAGCCGCCGCTTTTTCCGTCTCTTGCTTTCGATGCCCACCACTGCTCACGGATGTTCCTTAGACTTTTGCTTAACCTAGATCTGATTTTCTTTCTTTCATCATCGTGTTCAGAGCCTGATGGGACGAGTTTACGAGAATCCACCAGTGCAACAGACCTTGAAAGAATCCAATGGTTCTTTGTAACCCTTTTGTTTAAGTCACTATTAGATATCACCGCTGTTTTCACAGCTGCTTGTATATCTTTCCAAGCAACATCTGGGTCAGCCTCATTTTCGGAACTACCTGAGTGTGACCTCAGTCGTTCCCGGAATCTACTTTCGGCTTTCTCGTCATTCAATTCAGTTGTAATGTGTCTTTTTGTGTGGCTTTTCTAAGTCCAGTGAGGCTCAAGCAAATGTATGCCCAAGATTCTAGAGTCTCAGCCTAAGAGGCCTGCTGATCGATTTGACATAGGTTACGTACGTTGAAGGCTCCAATGTATATTTTGGAGCGAGGTTTCAGTAGACCTGGGACAGTGTTTTGCGCACTAGAATCGTTGGCTATGATGATATTTGAGGAGGAAGTCAAAAGAGGAAGTTTAGTACTGAAGGTCGCCGAAGTTAAAATAATAGGAACCGAAGGAAGACGTTGATTATGAATAAAGTGGTCTTGAGTGCTGTTAGAGGTATGAGTGCGGTTATCACTTCCCGGTCGCCCACATCGTGCAAGGGTTCTTCTGAAGGTATCTGAAAAGGAAATTGGATTAGAGGTGGTCTTAGTAACGTGAGAGCGTGACCGCAGTGCCCAAGAGACAACTGCTTGAGGCCAGTCACACACGACCTTTTGTGAGCAGTTTTCGCGTTAGCTCCGTACTTGTTGGGACCTTGCAACCGGAGACGGATATCCGTGGGAAAAGGCGAGGTGTGCATTTTCGGGGTCGACCTTTACTAACCCCACCTCTCCTTGTGGAAAGGCAGCATCGCCGTTATGCTAGTTGTCTGGAGGGGACACCTTACTGCTGTCACACATCTGTACAGTCAGCAGTACGACTTCGCCTTCAGACGTTGGGTTTGTTGCTTTTAGTCTTATCGCTCTTCAGCAGACCTGTTTGGCATGGTAGGCTCTTGAGGAACGATTGTTCCCGTCAGTATAGTTTGATTGGTTCATCACGATGGGCAAGCCCGGCCACCACGTCAAGGTATTAACAACCAGTATATTTTAAATGAATCGAGTGTGAAGCAGTTATCCAGTGAAGATGATGAACGATAGTTACACAGTTTTACGGATTGATTGAAGTTAGATACGAGAACCATTAGAAGCTAGTTCAGTGATCTAAAGGCAAGTTGCGAGATTTCTTCGTTGAATCTCTGGCGGAGTCGTGGATGCACAATGCTGAGGAGTCACACAGCAGGAAGAAACACCTGTTCAGTGCCTCATTGTTTTTAATGGTTACACAACTTAGTTCGGTTCATGATTTTAGTGTCAACTAAACTGGGAGTGAGACATAGGAAAAATAACAACATTTATTCAGTAATTTGATAAATATATGCAGACGTAAAATAATCCTACCGTACAAAGCTGGCATGTACTGAATGGTTTCACTTCCACCTACCCAGCTTTTTGTACTTTTACTTTACAACATGGTTATTTCTCTATCATATCTGTTGATATGAAGAAACAGCACAAATGAAAACAAAGTTGGTCAAGATATATTACTGATATTTTATTGATTAAACTATAGCGAATTCGAGTATGTACATTATTTCATATTAACATGTGACTCTCATCAGACGATGTACAATAAATACTATCCCATCGTTTAATCTACGCATTAACTTGTTCATTCACTTTTCTCTTTATTATGTATGTTCTGCTCTAATTTGTCAAACTGTTCTTTGGATACCGCATCTAATTCATCTTCAACTTGTTCGACGCCTAATACGTCTGGTATATAAAACTGAAGCATATTCTGTACACCATTTTTCAAAGTAACTACGGAACTAGGACAACTTGAGCAAGATCCTTGTAGTTTTAATCGCACTATACCATCTTTAAAATCCTGAAGAAAAAATGATACAGTATAGGAATTCATAGAAAAAAAATATAAATATGGAAACACCTACCATCAGGAAAAGTGAATTCCTTACGATAAGTTAAGTGACCAACGCGTTCAACTACTTTGTTGTCTATGGTCAGTCTATGAGCTGATCCGGACCAGCCCTAAAGTCGCATTTTGTATTTATAAGGAGAGAAACGAACTCCAAACTTGCTCGTATTGTTACTAAGTGTTCATAAGACTGTAATTTGGTAGGGTTTTCACCAAACTGAACCACGTCGTTCGGGCAAGTGGATCCCCTAATGTGACTATTTGAAACCGAATGAGGAGCCCTCTGGAACTTTACATATTTCTCTGATACACCTCATAGTGGCAAGTATTAAAAAAACCAACCGACCCCCGAACTCGAGTCCCAACTTTAAGTGAAAGAATATGATTGAAGTCTGTGGTCAGTATATGTTTCGGCGTTGTAAAACGTAATGAAGGCTAAAAATTTGCACAACACATCAACAACCGCATCTAAGCCTGTTTTTTCAAATTTGCACTGTTCCTTGCTCCATTTAGACGTTGAATGATTATAAAGGCTAATATTTCAGTCACACCCATCCCTCTGTGGTTATCACTAGAGGAATTTAATAGTTCTTATGATTTGGAACGACCAGTGGTCAAGACCAGTTAGGAGTGATCACGTTCAGATACCAGATTTTAGCTATTATTTTAGCCAACATAAGTGGTATAATTGTAGAACAATACTCAAATAACTCCGGGAAAATACAACTCGAGCATCCTTGGGTTATTAATCAAGATGCTGAGAAGACGTATTATCTTAGGTGTCATACCATACAGGACCATGTCACCTGTATAGTCTTAGCCAGTAAATTAATTTCGTTATATCCTAGTGAATATAAAATTACGGGTAACTTCTGAGATCTATTAATAGACTAATATTATATATTCCTAATGTACAACTATTCAGTAACTAAATTAGGTATATCTATATTCCTCTTATTATAAGATTCATTTTGACCCATAGATTATTACTGTACGATTTACTGTTCTTAAATTATGTTCAGTTTATTGATTATCGTCTCCCACGTTCACATCCACTTTTTGGCTTGATCTTGTATAGAGGTTATTTCCTAATTTATGGTACGATGCGGTCTGTTTGGCTGGTATATAAACCAAGCATGTTTGAAATAAATGATTCGCATGGCGGGAGCTGTTATTGGTGTTCTGGACTCAACTGGACGGGCTAGGGAAGCAAAGGATCAATAAGGACGCTAGGCTGCTCATACCAGTCGAACGTTATTGGTTTAGTACAGTACAAGAGTTAATAAGTCGTATTTCGACTGGTGAATAAATCACGTGATAACTAGCCAATCTTAAAGTTACAACAAATGTACTGGGAGAAGATGAGAATAAGAAGGCATTTTGAACCTATTAAGTCAGTAAGTGGTGTAGCGAACTTGGTGTTGTATAGAATTATGTTCAGTGTCATAAGTATATCATTAAAAATTTACAGCCAGTCTAAATAAGTGGGCCGACTTCATAGGCTTTTTTCACAGTTATTCAAAAAATGAAATAACTTGAAATAAGGTGACAGTAATGTGATTACAAATCACACTAAATGGAATAGTATTCATGTCATATATGCTAACAAATACCAAGCTATTAGTTGTCTAAACAAAAGACAAAGAATACCACACTACATGAACAGCTAAAATATGAGATTACCTTGAAAATAATATCACCGCCGTCTTCTTGAACAGTGGGTCTTATTCGGGTATCCAGTAGTTCTTTTATCATTAATACTGTTTCATCTTCTTCATCACAGGTTTTATCTAAAATTGTGAAGCTAAATTTCTACATAACTACAAAACATGAGTAAAGTTATAGGGAGCTGAAATTCGAGTTTTTTTACGGAAACTATTTAAAATAACCGTCCTTCGGTCATAAGTACTAAGATATTAGTAACACATAGTTTCCTAAGGCTGAGAGATAAGTAACATTTGTCAACGTCAATGACCTTATACTTTGTAAGTTTTTGGAGAGTACCATTTTAGCATTCGGAAGTATGTACAAAGAGAATAGTTGAAAGTTTACACATATTAACTTCTGCTGAAAATGATATGATAATAGATCTGAAAGATTATCAATTATCTGATAGCAACGAACCTGACCATTGTACAAAATTCAAATAGGAAGGATTTGTAATATTAACTGAACTCATCTTTGAAAAATTCCTTAGAATACATAATATATAAACAGTAATTAACCTCCAAAAGTTATGTCACCGATTGAGAGTACATGGACGACTGAATAAAAGCTTTTCTCCAATCAACAGAAGCAGCTGATGTAAAACTGAGATGTCATTTGACAGGTATATATTAATAAATTCGTGTAACATCACCTCCAAAATTGCAGGTTTCAAGAACATTTAGTAGCTGTATGGAACTCGTCAATGTAAAGAAGTAAAGCAGCAAGATCAGAGTTTCGTCGGATTTTCTTTACTTAAATCGTTGTCACATATCAGGATTTCGAATAAGGAATTAATTCTATCTATATTTGTTGGTAGTGACAAGACAATTCGACTGTCTCCAGGAAACGCTTTGCGTAATTGGCTGGTTATAAAAAAAGGAACATCAAAAGCTTCTTCATTCGAAATTAGATGGTCACGAAAGGGTTAAATAAATATTGTCATCTAATCTGACGACAGGAAACAGTGTTCGCATGTCAGTTACTACAATTCCATGTCAACTTTTTTAAACACTTACGTATGTGGATATGTTTATCTTTGGCGTTTCACGGACGGTTCCTCTATCATGAGGTCCTCACGTTGACGAAAATTATACAAATGAAACACTTCAATTACATGAAGACTATGAAAAAAACAATTAAGTATTTAGTTATCTTAAGATTTTTTGTAAATTACAAGAAAAACACTTCAGAACTGCTTGACATCAAAATTAAGTGTTAGCAGTAGGTAAAATGGTGACTATAGGAGTAATAGATGAAGTGTGATTTGAAAACGCCTTTTATTTCAGTTTTGGACAAACACAGAAGCAACCATAGGATGATAGTAAGAGTAATTATTAATGAACATTGAGAATTGTTAAAATAAGTGATGTCGTTAACCGTAAACCAGTTGAGTGCATACTGACGAGCAAGAGCCACATGGAACTCCGAACCCCTGATAATTAACATGTTAGAGCATTGAAAGTACGACAAACTAAAAAGTAATACTTAACGTTTGAAATATTTTAAAATTTGAACATCAACAAAAATGACAATCAAATTACTGTATATCGCAGTATCTTACTTAAGTCTTGTGTTTTTTCTTCACTGACAACAGGTTGTCCAGAACTGTAGAAATCCATTATAGTTGCATATACATCAGGTTTTATTACAGCCCATTCGAAGTCGTCATTCTACCACTTGTCATATCGGAAAAATCATAAACCGACCTTAGTAATCGTGATGAAATCAGGACCAAAGAAGACTCGTTCAACCCCTTCGATTCGAAACAACTGTCTAAAGTTTTCAATAATTTAAAATAATTCGCACCTAGCCAACGGGGAAGACGTGGATTGTGTGCAGGATGGAAAGTCTCTAGTACCAGAACCTAGTACAGGTTTACCAGGAAAATATTTTAAGCTGTTAGGATTGGGAGTTTCTTGGACTTGAATAAATAATTTTCTAATCCCTGATAAAAAATTACAAGGTTGAATCGAGAGACCTACTTGGCTGGAATGACATCGACTGAGTGTTGATTAACCGACGAAAAGTGTTGAGTACAAGCATATTTTTTCTAAAGCTTTAGTTGTTAACAGCAGTCAGTGTAGTAAACATCGACGATGGAACAAATCGGATAAGTAATAAAACATGTAGACGATAAAATAACTGTACAATAACTCCCTCAAAACATTTTGTATTAATTTACTGAAATATGTAACTAAATAGAAGTCACTTATGAAACGTCTTCCTAAAATGAAAGTCTTCTGCTATCAAAACAACTTCAGATTTAATCCCCAATCACTTTAGTAGGTATTGCAAATCTGACTATTCAGTTCAAGCAAACTGGAAACGTATATTTATACACCTGTCCACAGGTGATAACTTATGATTATAAAAAATGTAGACCGAGATCAATAGTCGATATGTATACAAAAGAGGTATCCAAACTTCATTCTATTTAAGCACACAACATATTAGACGATTATAAGTGTGTGCAAGTCAAAACAATTCCACTTGCGCATGTCAGCGATTTCAGCCTGTCTCAACCGTCAGGTCGCTGACTACGTTTGGGGTCAAGTAGTTGGCATTTTTGAAAAGGATATCTCACAAAGTGTATATTTTGAGAGCTACCACGCTGTGTAAGTCGGGTAGTTACATGATTTGTCAAGGAAACTATAAAGGTCGACTTAGCTAAAAATCAGACTTGTCACACTTGACGGAAGGGTGAAAACGATAGTGAAATAAACAAAAAAGTAATTCAATAGAGGAGAAATTAAACTCGCTTATCTATCTAATAAGTAAGATCCTACTTTTCTTATTTAACGTCAATGTACCAGCACTCTTTGGCACATATGAATTCTGTTTTCCTAAAGAAAGAAAATGATATATGTTTATCGACTAAGGTATTTAACACCATAAATAAAATAGGTTATTTGATTTGTCTTTTTAACATTATGGACTACATGCACAAAAGCGATTATTTAGAGTTACATTTTTGCACTACCTTTTCAACGAAACGATCTAATCAACCCAGCTTAACATAGGCGAATAATAAATTGGCAAAAAAGTTTTCAGGCCTTAAGTATAGGACTATCAACTCGTTTTAAGAGGTTAAAATACTTTTGTTCAGTTTAATAAGGAGCTCTAGTTAGCAAAAGAATCAATGGGAATTAGTAAGTAAATCATATCTGAACATATTTAGCGAAATAAAACGAACATAACTGTGTACTTGAAAATAGTTATATTGGTTAAATATTTTTGGATTCATAGATACTAATCGCGCACTGTAAGGACTTATTATCTAGTCAAACTGTGAAACCAGTTTGTTGACAGCTCAAACGTAAACACCAACATTTTAATTACAAAAGTCTCTTAGAGAACTACATCCTTCAGTGAATAGTAATCAAATCGGGATAGTAATACCAAAGAAATCCAGCAGTTAGTACGCCTATTACTTCGAAAAAAGATACTACAGGCCAGTTTAAATCACTTGTTGGCAATAATACCGGTGTACCGGCAACTTGGGAAATGTTAGCTATCTCCAAACTACAGTATCTTCTGTTCATGATTCTTTGCTATCAAAAAACCTCATAGTAGTAGGTTAACCAAAACGCAGTATTTACTCTGTCTGCTACTGCCTTTTTTCTGGCCTTTGGAGGTTGAAATTATTGAAGCTTCAAGTAAGATTGTCATGTAGGTACTAAGACGGTCAGTATAAACACGAAAGGAGCTTTCCAGTAAACAAATTAATGTGCCAATAATGTAACATTTTCAGTTATTTATTTGAACACAAAAAATATTTGTACAAAGAGGCACCGAATTCATATGCGCCACACAAGTCACTTGATTTGTGAGTGGGCTGTGATACTGCCCTAGTGCCCAAACCGAAGCAGATGGTTTTCTTAGAGAGACACAACCGGAACCTCCAACCTCAAGGTCTAGTCCACAAGGAAGTGGAGCAACGTAAGCAGATGCAATCCCATGGTAGACGGTGACCAACAATAGGTTCATGTGCCATTTGTTCCTTCAGGAACCTGCAGCCTATGTTCACAACTGGTTTGGACTCAAGGTTTTCCAACTCCTCTGGGTGGGCTCTCCGTGTCCACCAACCGGGTTAAAGCGCCGGATATTCGCTTTTCGTCCTCTCAATTTCGTAAACAACACTCCCGCCGCGAGAAGAAAGTTAGTAGGACTTCCCTAGCAGTGGCTGTATAGGCGTGACCATGTGGGCATTTCAAGGAGAGCTAACTCTCCCCACTCTCGACAGTACAAAGGAATTTGGGAGGATGAAGCCCCTAACATTGCTACTTTTGACTTACAACGGTGACATACAGAGCCGGAAAGCTAAGGTAGATAAATCTTCTGAAAGTGAGAAATCCTACGAACAGTGTTCAATATAATTTAATAGGTATTTATGAAAGCGTAAACACTGAAACATAGCGAAACGAACTGTGAAAAGGCACTGTTACGTAAATAGGAAAGTTACACTAGTTGAAGAATGGTTTGACTAGCTAATTAACAATGACTTCAGGAATATTGACATACTACAAAAATGCACTGAAGTTTTGAGTAGTTTGCGATAAGACGTGTGCATAATTAGTGTTTAGACGCAGTTCGACTTTATCTGGAGCATGGCAAAAGCTATTATTTAACGTTTATTCAACTGCAAAATCAATGTGGAATAAGAGATATATCTTGCATTATTACTAAGTACCCAATCTCCGGAGATTAGGGCCCTATTTCGGGGTTTGCCCGAAGTCAAATAGTCTTTCCCAGAGTTTGGGGAAATCTGTATACCTGAGGAAATTTTGAGGCTTTTGTGACGTTTCCCCAAAAATTTATATAGCGGCTTCCCAAAAATTTCCCCAAAACGGATAACAGTTTCCGCAAAATTAGGAGATAGAATAACACTACATTGTTCGAATAATCCCACCATATTAGCGATCAGTTTAGCTTTCAAGAAGTAACTACGTAAAAATGCTCCTACACGTCATCACTTTTGACTAACTTCTTTTACTACATAGGTACCTAAATTTGTATGCATCGAGTAACCTGGGAATATCATCCACAGTGAATTTGAAAGTCAGCCAACGTTTCAACCCAACTTTGAGGAACGTGATGGTCTATTAATCTTCAGTTTTCAAAATGTGAAGGACGACCGAAACTATACTAGAAGACTTAATTGCATAAACCAAAATCAGGGCAACGCACCGTGTAAACTAGGCGCTACTATCTCGAAATTCCAATCGATGAAAATTGAATCCCAAATGTGATTACTAGATTTTATTCATCTCAGTTGCCGTTCTCATACTTGCTGTCAACTGAATTTATGAATGGATGATGGTGTATTCCATGCATTAACTAACTCTCTGACTCGCTTTTTTCTTTTACAATAACTGTTTTAACATTTCTCCACACGATTTCAGAGTGCAGCATCCATTCTGGATAGACTCCGGGGGTTCATTATTTGCCTTTCCGACAGAGTTGTATCACATACAGTTGGTTTACTTGCTTCCAACTTATTGACAATATTGCGCTGAATTTCGCGCCAGTTCTATCGCATTATGTCTGGAATGGACGTTACTTCAGGTGTGACTTCTTTTTCCCAAGTCTCGGTAATTCATTCGACCGAAGTATATGATCTGTCATAACTATAAATCTCTAACATGTTTAAATTGTATTGGTTGCTTATTAAGGGTTTCAAAGGGAGTTGAGTACTTTGCAATTCTTTGGATGCGTTATAATAGGTTAACATCCATATTGTTTGGAGTTGCTGTGAGAGTTCTTTGTAACTATACTTAACTATGAGCGATGTAACACTCTTTAGTGATGGTACTTTATAGTGAGATCAGTCCACTAACTCAGCTGTAAATGTGGTTTGTTAGACAATGCTTATACGAGAGCAGGAGCGAGAGCGAATACATCATTAAATTTTTACTAATATGTCATGAGTTTATTACATATATTGAGTCCATTCAGTGGACAGACTATTTTCCATTGCTAGAATTAACTTAAGAGGTTTTTAGACTTGTAGCAGCAGTGGTTCTTAACCATATGGTCTCTGAAACGGAATATATAATAACTGAGAAGGTTGCCTTTCAAACTGTAACACTTTTTCTAAGTCGAATATGGTGAATGTTGGAACGATCGACCGAAATTACATGCCACAGCCATGCTGGCATGGTCACTCGGTGTAACCTCTCGCTTTTTGTTTCAAATATATCATACTCTTCCTAGCCCAAATGTGTTCTTCTTATGGGTGATTGTCACGTAGGGAAAGTCAGGTAGACTATGATGTGGCTTCCACTTGAGATCTTCTAGATTAGGTTGTATTATCATGGCAAAACTACAATTTCGGGATTAGGTCTCCCTCTACAGACTCCATTGTGACTCTTTAACTCAAATCAGTTTAATTATTGTCTTCCCTGCGTAACACTACGCACTGCTTTTAAATCAAAGAAGGAAATTTGTATCAAAATCGATCCAGTGTGTATAGTACGATAATTAGTACTGGTAAAATTGTTTTGGTGATCAAGAATTACCAACTTAAATCTTATATGACCAGATGAATACAAGTGGAAGTGTGATATTTTGAATTCGTAATAGACGTACAAATAAGATCGTTGGGATTACCAGTTCATACAAATAACACAACTACTTCAGCTCTGATGCAATTCCAGATTTATGTTGTCCATTCTACATCGCCTTAGACCCATTAGGTGTCTGTTTTGTTGACTATTATATAAAGACTATGATGATCTGGAATTTATTCATTAGTGTCAAAATAAACACGTGAAAATGGAACAGACCCACCTGGCTCCTAGAATTGTACTTGATCAACATGTCAGTTGTTCGTACTTGTAGAGGTTAATTCCTTTATAGCCGATTCAAATAAATAGTTTCTCGTTGACTGTGTATCTACGCAGGCCAAATCTCCTAGTAATATAATGAGTCCACTCGAAATCGTTCAAAAGCCAGAACGCCAGTTTTAGGGATACTACATTGTTTATAATTAGTAGAAATCCACAATCAACACAGGAAGCAAGCACAGAGGGAAGTGAATGAGAGTGAGCGTAGAGAGTAAAGAAAAACGGACGGAGAAGCCATATGGGCCAAATCAATTTAACTCGACATTTATAGTCAAACAAAAATACGTTACAGACATGTGGTGAGTAAAATAGGAAATCCACGCATACACTTGCATAAAAAAGGTCAAGGTTGATTAGCGAATAATTATCAAGGTTCAAGTGTTACTCAAGAAGAATGAACAAATTGGCTTGTCCGGAAGTTAGAATAAGCTATGTGGGCTTCACATAGCGACCGACACTTCATACTTGATTCATTGGTATCGATAGCAGTAGATTTTCAAACACAGTTCGTCGCACTCCCTGAGGCCGATCAAAGATCATTTCCACGATAATACGTAACTCTCATGGACACTAAACACCCTACGTTCTAACGTTTAATCCATTCCTTTAATACTTTCAGAGTCTCATTCGTTGTAGAATGTTCACTTTTCCTATATTTCAGCAGAAATGGAATTATTAGCAGTTTTTAATATCCCAACAAAATTTCCTGTATGACCATTGGGACAAGGGTGTTTACGAGCAGCGGACAGAAATGTATGCATCATACCATTCAACAAGATAGGGACTATATCTGAAGGCAGGTGAGAGCCCTTATCAGTCATCAAGCTATGAGGACCTCCTACAGACCGAACACTTTACTTAGTCTCTAGATTGTGATATCGGAATTTGGGGAGGTTGTGAAAAAACCTCAGGACGAGAAATGGATCAAAACAACCTGCATGAATTCTCTGTCAGGTTTCAGACGATACTGACCATGGAGTCGCTTTTATAAGTTGATTTTTGGACTTTCTGGTCTATCTCCCTGCTCCAAAACTGCACCAATATCAACATATAGCGCACCAGTAATGAGTACGGCATGTACACTTGAGGAGCAAATTTGAATAACGACATCATTTTGCGTAAAGTAGTGCCTTCAACTGTGTGAGTTTAGTAAAAGAAATGCGATCAGCATCAAAGATTAAAGACTTACATAGCTATTAATTTTGGGGATTTATTCACCGCCATTTACAGCAGATATCCATCTCCAAGTGAAAGATCAAAATTTTTCAGGATTTAGATGTATATCTAACTGTTCAATCACTAACACCGTCGTGACGCAAATAAGATTGAAGATATCATAGGTATTTGGTGTTTGACAACGCTTTAACTACTAACATATTCTACTATGAATCGTACACACCAAGTGAAATCAAAAGGCAGAAACGAGGAGGTTCGAAGATATATTTGATAGACTATCATTATATCGAGAATCGTCTGATCTTATCTGGCTAGCGATTGCAGGGGTTGTTGAGCACCGGCGTTGCCACTGGTGATCTGGTGCGGATGCATGACCGAGTGCCTTCAACTAGGTGGGTCCATCAAAACTAATGTGGTCACCATCCAATGTCGGAAACTTACAAAGCTATTTATTTTAGGGATTTATTTACCGTTACAAGAGGGTAGTCAAATTGACGTGATAACTAAGAATTACAAGAACAGTCCAACTTAAGTCGAACAGAGACAGATGAATGCAAGTGAACGCATGATATTACGAACGATAGCTACGAAAATGAGTGCGTTATACGTGAACGGACAATTTGGTTATTATGTTTCCTGGAGAGCTGATATGTGCGGTGTCTAACAAAATGTACGTGTGTGAGTGAAATGGGGTCAATGTAATATTTGTCAAAAAAGAAAGCAAGGAATTTCAAACATGATCTGTGTAACGGATTGTAAACCTCATACTAACACCTTCAATTATGATTATTGAATAGCATTTGTCCCACGCTATTAATAATTATTTTCAGTTGCATTATTGTCGATTACATTATAATGACAAGGACGTTTCGCAAACTTTTATAGGGTTTCGTACAATGAGCAAAAGTATTTCTAGAAGGCACTTTTTAGTAGACTAAAAAAATAACGTTTTTTCTGGTAGATCCAAAATCTATTCTCGATATGCTGATTGACTTCAACAACGATGTAATTTAACCGGGCATACTAGTCTAAGACCCTGTAGGTGCTCTAAAGCACTTAAATTACAGAACAAACACTGTAAGATTTAATTCTAGAATTACCAATTTCCGCTTTATTCAGTTCTTAACAATGGAAACAAGTAGATGTCTAAAAGTCCCTATCGGTGACGGCCACTAAATTGATGACAAATGAGAGTATTCTAAAAATTGGAAGAATCTGTTAGATGATAAGTTGTGTTTAAATCTATCGTGGATGTAACGTCATCGCGAGACGAATATTGGGAAAGTTGAAATATTCGGTGATATCCTTCGGGTTATTAATAATATCATTTATATCTTTATTGTATTATGAGCAGACGATTTTATGGTCAATTTCTAAGTTCTAATTATTGTGAGCTTTCAATGTACATTTGAATGTTGTTATACGCCTTACAGTCCCTTAATTATCTCTAACTAAGTATGTTCTGTCACCTTCGACCTATACAATTTACATTATAATTGTAATTGAAGTGCTGCTAGACCAGACGTTCACAGTATATTCTCGAAGGGGTTTTTAGTCATAATCGAATTGGGGTATTAAAATACTTGTCTGTCATTTACCGTCATTTTCTGATTGACTACTAGATTAGAAAAGGCCTTGAGGACCAATAGGCGTTAAGACCTTGGTGCTCTCTTATTGATCGTTGTACAAATTGGCAAAACAGGTCACCGGTCCGACTGGCAGTATAGCATGAGATATAGATCGAAAATTTCAAGTCATTTCAAGTCCGCGGTGTTCTCGAAATGTAACAGGAAAAACACCTCCTGAGGAAACCCCAGTCTTTAAAAAACTCTCTGCTCTTTCATATGGTGATTTAAAACCAATTGTTGTGTATCGTTTTCATCTAGCCTGCTCCAGCATGTATAGAACTCCATAAAAAGTTTATTCATAATTTGAGCGATAACGAGATGTCATACGCATGCAATGCCAGGAAAGGTCTACTAACTTTCTTCTCGCGGCGGGAGTGTTGTTTACGAAATTGAGAGGACGAAAAGCGAATATCCGGCGCTTTAACCCGGTTGGTGGACACGGAGAGCCCACCCAGAGGAGTTGGAAAACCTTGAGTCCAAACCAGTTGTGAACATAGGCTGCAGGTTCCTGAAGGAACAAATGGCACATGAACCTATTGTTGGTCACCGTCTACCATGGGATTGCATCTGCTTACGTTGCTCCACTTCCTTGTGGACTAGACCTTGAGGTTGGAGGTTCCGGTTGTGTCTCTCTAAGAAAACCATCTGCTTCGGTTTGGGCACTAGGGCAGTATCACAGCCCACTCACAAATCAAGTGACTTGTGTGGCGCATATGAATTCGGTGCCTCTTTGTACAAATATTTTTTGTGTTCAAATAAATAATTATAAATAAATGTCCTTCAACCAAGTAGCTGTGAAGTTTGGTCAGCTACATAGTTAGAGCTGTTTATGACTAACGTAAAAACATCAAAAACAGATAAAGAGCGCATCTAGATGGAATAGTGCTTTGTGTAAACTGTTAAGATTATTTTGGTTGTTAGAGTTGATTTTTTAGCTTTTTAGCCGCAACAGTTCAAGCACATTCATTGAACATTATTTCACCACAGGTAAAAGGTTTGATCCATCTAATTTCGCCAAAGATTTATCCTTAAATTTATGCAATAGTTTTACTACACTACAACACGGTAAATGCTAGCTGAGAACTGACTTCTTATGAATCCGGAACGAGTTCAGTTAAACGAGTAACTAAAATCTTATATGCCTCTTTATTTTTTGGCATATAGTAATTGAAAACTTAAGAATTAAATCCTTCGAAATCCTATATAAACTTACAGCAACTTATTATAATACCAACCATTCACAAGAAAGTTATCGAAGTAGCAATAAACAAAAAGACCAAATCTGAAGTTTTCAAAGTATTTGGACTTTTGAATTCAATACCAATATACATAGTAATTGTCTGAATATTAGTGGTTGTGTAATAATTGTAGAATATCCACCATCATTTGTCAGAATCTTTATAGTTCGATTGCTTCCAACAGTAATTAATTTCTGAATGTTTACTTCAAAAAAACGGATCTGAATCTCAATTACCAGACTATTTTTTCCCAAAAATAATTTCATAGAACTTGTTATACATTGTTTGACTAACAAAAAATATGCAAAACTAACTGTTTGCATATAATTGCAACCCAAGAAAGATGACTACGAATTAAATATACTTAAAATAAATTAAGGAAGCAGTTTAGAATCTAAACGACTATATGGAAATTGCATTTGATGAATACTTATATGTATAGTTTTAGCTCAACCTTCTATATGTTAACAAGCTGACTAATAATTTGATTTTAATGTTTCGAATAATGTTTGATAGAGGGCTTATTATTTAGAATAACCCAAGATTATTCAGGTAATAAGTGTTAATTCATTAATTGGTCACTGACGTTTGTCACACATTTAAATACTTGTTATTACTTTAAACAACAGAATTAAACAGCCCCTATTGTCAAATTGATTCAATGGACAGCTTGTTGATACTTTTGAAAAATATTAAAATGTCTGAAATGAATCTACAGTAGAATAGTTAGATTTGGTGGATTTATCCGAAGTAATAAAGGAAGAAGATTATCTGCTCACAAATTTGGTTAGGTCTTTTGATGCTAATATTTATTCGATAGATCAGCATAAGATAGAAATATTTAAACACATCAGCCTGAAGTTAAATAAAGTTTGAATTTTGATTAAGTTGAACAGAACATACATAGTAAAGCATATGTCAACCAAATTTACAAATCAGAAACCAAGTTGTTTGAATTTGTTTATCTGAAGTAAGTAACATTTGCCATTAGATATCTGATCTACACTCTTATTTGTTGATATCTACTAAAATGATCTTGGAGATCAAAATGGATCAGATTTCTTAAAGAATACTGAAAATAACATAAAAAGTTTGGGAATATATAGTAACAAATTGTTTAACAAAAAGTGGTCTTTTTGAAGGAATATAAACATGTATAAGGTGACAGGTTTTCTAAAATAAAAGTAATAATTTAATGACATGAGATTTTGTTTAGCTGAAAATCACCAATGTGGTTTAAACATTGATTTAGAGCATATATTGCACATATAAATTAAAGGAATGAATGATTCTTCAAAGCACTTTTCTTATCCTGTTTGTTTGTACTGATTGTATCTGTTTGAATGATTTCAAGTAGACTTATGATCTAATTAACTTTCTCCATTCTAAATGATCCTTGGATAAAGATTTATTCTTGAATTACTATCTTTTGTGTTATACTTTTCTGTAGGTCTATAAAGTGTACAAGAAGTTTGCGCTTTATTGACGACTGAAGAATTTTCAACGCTGTCATCATCTTCATCGTAGATTATTTGTTTCTCATCCGAGAAACTTATGGTATTGCTTTTTCGCAGTTTTATGGTTTCATTTCGTGATTGTGCTTGGATTGTATTTGATAACTGACTTACATAACCAGTGTGAATGCTACCATCTTGATAAGTTTCAGAATAATCTGTTGAACACTGATATATCGGTGGTAAACTTCCAATTTGAAAACTGTTTGGCCATTGCATGAAAAATACTGAACTCATTAACGGACCTTCAAACAAAATGTAAAGTGGTTTATCAAACGGTCAACTTTGAATAAAATTCAATGTTCACTAAAATATGCGATACTGAGTTTGTAATGGCTTTGCTTCGTTAATCGATCACCTCGATAACCATTATAATATAACTTTCAACGGTGTTTGAAATCAGGAGCGGCAACTACAGTTTATTAGCGGGTAGCGCAGATCACAAAGCCGTAAGCACATCAAACGAATTTCAAGCAGAGGAGAATATGTATGTGCAAACAAATACCATAGGCAAATTTATAGTTAAATCTCATAAGGGCACGGTAAGGTAAAAGAAAACCTAATAATAGGATTTGAGTACATATATACCTGGGGAGGAGAGTGAATCATCAAGTGATACTTAAGGGATCAACATTTTAGCTAGATTCTGTTATGTGATCTAGTGACAGTACAGTACAAAGAAATATGCGAATTGTTACTGTTCTAATAAGGTTATCTGTTAATTAAGTTAACAAAAGGGCTTAACCAAAATTAACCACAATTGAAATTGGTTGTAAGATAGTTGTTATAATTTTTTGTCACTGTACACAAATATGAGCGTAACAATTAAAATACCCATTATGATATTAAGTAAAAAGAGCGGAGAAATCTCTTTCCAACTAGCACTACAACTCCTAAATGATGCTACCGAAGAAACTAACTCAGTGGTTACGAAAGGCGGTGCAGAAAACATTTACTGCAGATAAACTGAATATGGTTTTCTGTAACCACACGACAATAAAAACCATCAATAAAGACAGATTGCTTGAATTCTTCACATCCATATACATTTACCAATTCAACTGCTCCATTGGAACCAGCTCTAAAGTGTGTACCATTCGGCAAGTACATTATCACATGGCAGAACACCATCCATCTAAGTTGAGCAAAGGACAGATAAATTTGATTAAGAGTTCCATTCTCGCTTACTTGGTAAACACAGGTCACTAAGTTGACTTGAATAAAGATTTTAAGGTTATCCACCATGTTCCATCACGTTTACCACATGGTTTACGAGTTCGTCTGTTGCATATTCCTGAAGCTATCAGAATCGATGTTCACAAATTAACTTTGGGATTCAAAAGAAGTTTCTACAATCGCTCGCGCCACCATGACCATCGGTATCGGAGTTAGTGCTTATCTGGACTTTAACCCTTTCCTTCAAAAGTATTTAAACAATGTTCTAATTTCTTCTATTACTGTATTTCTACATATTTTCAACATTCATCTCTTGATTCTTACATAACTACTATATTACCGACCTTTTATCGAAATATCTTGTTAGCTCTTTTTATGTATTATTCAATGTGACAATTATTTGATTTTCCAGATAATTACTTTGATTGTTACGATCCTCTTTCATCCAGTTATTCAATACTGTTTCATAATCAAAGTGACATTATATAATTATTGCGTAACACAACAACTCGACGAGAGTTATTTAATTATTGTAAATCATACATAAATATTAGCGTAAGGCAGAGATGAAAAAAACTAAATGAGAAGGGATTTCTCCGCTCTATTTGTTTTTTTTTATAAGGATTTCAGAAGGTTATAGGAAATGCTATTCAACTCAAAACTTTTCATGATATCTTCAATGGTGTAGGTGGTTTCAAAGCAAAATAACACAGGTTTCAAATGTTGTGAAGGTCTATTTTGTTCCAAACTGTAACCGCATGTGACTTGGCATATGCGAAATTTCTTTTCATCAAATATAACACATGTAAACATAAACTAAGCACCCGAACCTTTGAATCACACTAACTGAATCATATATTGGTGTCTAATATCCACGACATTCAAGTTAATTGTCGAGAAAATATTAAATCACTAGGATTATTATTCACATAAAAAACGAGCGAGAAATTAAGGTCACAAAACTGTCAAAACTGAAAGAAATTACAACCATTGGTTTATTTAGTAGTTCTGTGACATCAATGATTACAGTTTTGTGCTAATCTGGATTTCAACTTCTGATCTACTGGTTTTCCGAAGGCTATACATTATCAATGTAGTTCAGTATCTACAGGAAGAAGCTTCTCTTTAGAGATTTTTGTGAAATGTAATATAGCGTCTACATCGTTACAAAATTCCGGTCGTAATATACTCACTGCTTAATTTAGCAGAAAATCTTCCAAAGGTCCCGGGCTCGAACCCTGAGCGTGGGATCGTGATTGCGCACTGCTGGGGAGTCCTTTACTAGGATGAAACGATCGTTCAATGCTTTCAGGTTTTCAATGATGGTCTAACACTGATCAATTCATGATCTCAATCAGAAAAGTTTCCATTACCAATCCATTCTTTCATCTTTTTAACTTATGAGCGAATATTGTTCATAAAAGACGATGAAAGATAACCAAGATATTTAAATGCTACTCATATCAATTAGTTATGTTGGACACAGAATCAGGGAGCTCTAGTTAACCAAATATATAAGGTTTTTTATTAAGGATACAACTTTCCAAATGAGATTACATAAATAAATGTCAATTTTCATCGAATAACAAGTATCTATAATATTATATTTCAAAATAACTACTTAATTCTCACAAATCCTGACCATGTTTTTCATGACAGCCAAGTATTACTAATGTCAAATATAAAGATAAATGTACAAGTTTAAATATTCAAATTTATAAAAATATATCATATTACACTTCATATTTAAGGGGTTTCTTTTATGTAGGTGTAAACATAAGTGTAGTGATCTGTATTGTTTTACAAAGAAAACATGTGTCATTTCAGTTAAGGTAAATTCTATCATTTCGTTTGGTTAAGGTTAAATTTTAGAGGGAATATATTTGATTAAAAAGAACTAAAAACGGTTAAAGATTTTGGTTTAATTCACTGAAATCCGATGACCAATGACTACATGGATAAACGTTATTCACGGGTAAATTTCATGATCATTAAATTATTTTCAGACTATGTTGTGAACTCCACAAGTTTTTATATTTCACATATAAAGATCAAAATAGCATCTGATATTACCAGAGAACTGTTTGGGTTAATATGCTAAGATTATCAAAATAGCTAACAAGGGAATTCTCCCATGTTGTTCTTTGTTATGTGTAAAAGATTACAAGCAGTATGGCGGGACATCGTTTATATCGTCAACCCGTGGTGATACATTTACAATACGTGTAATATAGTATATAATGAACTAAAGTGAAATTAAAACAAGGCTATCAGTTGACAATATCAACTTACATTCAGTTTGTTGTGATTCCATTTGATTGTAAGACTCTATTTGTCGATCATTTGTTCCAATAATAATCGGAATGGGTAGTAAAAGATCGTGATGAATACGAGCAAACCGTTTAAACTCCTTCTCTTTACCTCGTTTGCACTGTTGAAATGTAATAATTTGAGGTTTCTTCGACATTAATTCATATGTACCATTGCTACTGCTACCTGTTTCATGCATATAAACAAATTCCATAAATTTATCTGGTTTAACTGAAGCAATATCACTCTCTAAAATCCATTTAGTGACCTTCAATGGATGCTTTAATTTTTTCAGTTTGAAACTAACCAGTCCTAGACTGTATGCAATGTCTATACATGAACAACCTTCTAAACCAGTTGGCGGTAACGAAGGTAAGTGAAATGTATGCTCTAATGCAACTCGTAATAAGTGTTTTTCAGACGTAGGACGCTTTCTCATTTCGCCACTGTAAACATCTCTCTCCTCTTGAGCAATAACACGGTGAGTCCAGTCTCGATAAGTTATTACCTGGGGAAAAAAGGAACTATATTTATATAGTTGGAAATTGTCTGAATTTCATTGCAAACCTGTAAGAAATTTGTTGAGTGGATTCACAAATCACAAATTCAGCAGTAATCTTTCGTTGAAATCGAAATGTTGTCGTTCACTATGATGTATATTAATACTGTACATACTTTGCAAAAATTAATGTCCCTAACATGATTTCCAGCTTACTCAATTTGTACTTTAGAAAAAGAATTTGTTTTCAACCATTTTGTATGACTTAAATTGATAAGGTTTGTGTTTATTTTAAGATATTTATTGAAGAAATGTGTCTTCGTTCTTTTTTAAGCTGGAATCAATCTAATGAATCAGATGTTTATGCAAAACATCCTATTTCGTTATTATTAAGGGTTAATTGAGTACTATACTCTAGATGGATTGGTAAAGTGAGAAGTTGTGGCAGATAAAATTTATTTTCACTGGAAATGAATCAAGTTTAACCAGTGACATTAGATGATCACTGTGTTAGTCTAAGAATCAAATGAAATTAAGATTATGAATTACTGGATTCCCAGTGTGATGTGTGCGCTACATATGCGGAGCCGGTGTTTATACATTACTGAAGAAATCAGTACTACGATGAATTAGTTTAACTCTCGTTGGTCTTTAATAATTCCCCAAATATTACCACTCAGTAATGGAATTCGGTTTCAGTAGCCCGTAAGGACCTTATTTTCAAAATATAGTATTAGGGAAAACTAGACTCTAACACCGTATAACTTACAAAACTCACAGTCAATAACCTAAAGAAGTTTATAATATTTGTATATTTTCCTGGACTAACCAAGACAGAAAGTGGTGTTTATCATTTTATTACTGATATATTCAAACGTTGCATTTTCATACCCATTACATTTGATTATCAGACACATATCACTAGTTATATGCCTCCTCAGCTAATCATAAATTTTGACTTATGTGGAAATAGTAAAAACAGTGATCGATTTCAACATTTTGGATATGTAATCTATATATTAGTGCTTTAAGTACTGCTACTATCATTACATTTGTCATTATGATTAGTTGTGTAAATGTACATAATAACAGAATGTTAGTTATACTAGCATATATAATTTCTGTCTACTGACCAAGTTAATCCAATGTAAATAATAAATAGTCAAATATGAAAGTGTTTCTGATGTATATATTTCATACATTCAATTTCACAGACAAACGAAGTAAAATAAACGTGAAATAGAGAAGGTGATTGTTCCTGACAGAGTAAAACAAGTGACTATTTCTTGAAATAATGAAGTCACCTAATTTACATTATTCGAAAGTAATGAAGTATCTGCTTTCAATGTAACATATTACGAACTTAATTACTATGTAATGATAAGATATCGAAAGGAATCCACTTAAAATATCAGATTTCTGAATGATCGGCTGTCAAATAGACAATGTATTTTCGAAGATTTGGTACTACACATTCTTCTATGATATTTTTTAACTATATTCACATCTGGGAAAATTGAGTAATTTACTAAACCAATGCACGGTTTGTAAACGCACCGTCTCAATGACAGCATATGTACTGTACTGTACTTGTTCGGTTATGTAATATTTCAGTAGTGTTATCAGGGATGTAAATATCTTTCTAATAAATACTACTGAGTATACGCGAAACGAATCTTTGCATATCTTATTTGTAAAGGTCATGTATCTGATGGCTTGTAAAGTGAATTGTACCGTTATTCTACCTAAATATGGGTTCACTGTGTTCACTAATCAATAATTTTTTTATCAGAACATTGGACAATCGATTTTAAATAATGATCAATAAGAAGCTGGTTTATCTATATTTTTCTTTAGCAAAAATATTATTTTCAAACTGAAACCAAAATACTTACTGATTACATAATTTACTCAATATTTTACTTAATAAAAAGAAAATAAATTCAGACAAATTATTCACTACAGCTTGAATATTCCGAGTTAATATTATTTATGACTGCTAAAAGTATAAACTTAAACTAGATACAGGTCTCATATATAAATGTTACATACCTGGCGTAGTACTAAAAATATTCTGTGTCGTTGTTTAACAAATCCTGACCACCATATACCATTAAGTTGTTGACTCTCGTTACTAAACTTTTGTCGTATACAATCTTCTAAATAATACGAAACAAATGCTCTTGCCAATGGACTCCATAAGTCTTTTTTGCATGAACTAATATTTGTATTAAATTTTGCACACCAATTCAAATCACTCGACATACCATTGAGTGATGGAGCTATCAGAAGAGCAAACGGATCTTCCACTAGTAAACTTAAACATGCTGTCAATCGACTGCCTGGATTAAGTTGACGTTGACTGACAGTTAATCTGCAAGAAATTGGATATCCTGTTTGAGCACCAAGACATGTACGTGGATATATTGCATAAGATGAACCGTATGATTGAGAAATCCATGTAGAAGGTAATGGATATGGATTATCACTGCATCGTTGTACAGTTAGTGTTGTTTTACTTAATGAATTATATAATGCCTTTTTCATTTTCGTAGCACGGTTAAAATGGGGTTTACATATTGATTGCATGCTATTGTTATTTCGATCATTTTCACTATTTGGATATTGGTTCTCATCTTCTGTTGATTGCATAGAATTTAAATATGGATTACTTTGATGAGAATCATTTAAACAAGAACTCAACGAATATTTAGTTAATTTAGTCGTATCATCTAGATCAGTGTTAGAGTAAGCACTCTGACCTAACGATGATAAATGATCTGGTATGTAATCATTTGTAAAAGTGGAATCGAACACTGAATTTTTCTCAATTAATTTTTCACTACTGTTATCATACTCATCTAGAATATTTTCCGTTTCATTTTTACATAAATTTGATAATCGTGAACATGTTCTTGATAAGTTTATAAATTTCACTGTGTTGCTACTAGATGATATGAATTGATCAAAACTGCTCACATAATTTCTGGTAATTGGAGGACAAGCCAATGTACTTGGAATCACCTGTAAATTGTAGACAAAAAACAAGATTAAAAAGACTATTCTTTTATGGCAGTAAATTGATTAAATTCTCTGAATAAAGATGAACTATACGATGAAGTTTGCGACACTGTTCAAGTGATCTTGATCAATTTCGACTAATTACAAAGGAAAATGTGAACAAATAATTGACTCATGATCTCAACTATTAAAAATTACTATAATGTCCACAAAATCCCTCCTTATATTAATCAACATATGTTCACTAGTGACGGTCTCCAAGAGGTATTTCCTGGAGTTCTAGTGAGAAGCGGTAAACAGTGGAGTTCAACCGGGTCTGTTGTGAAATAGTAACTCACTGAAGACATTAATGGATGTGTGGCTCAATTTCGTGAATTAGTTGGAGTTAGACATTAACACTATTGGATGCTGGCTCAGAGGTCTAGTGGTTAAGCGCTCGCTAACGAGACTGATAGGTCCTAGGTTCAAATTTCGCGAGGCGGGATCGTGGATATGCACTCTCGAGGAGTCCCACAGTAGGAAGAAACGGCCGTCCAGTGTTTCCAGGTTTTTCATGATGGTCTAGCTTCAAGTGACTCATGATCTCAACTATCCACAAAAACCCTTCTGATATTAATGAATAATTTATAATATTCGAGCTGTGGTTATGGTTTATGGTTAAGAATCGAGAATCGGATGTAGAGTTAGAGTACTGATATACTGCCCCCAAATGCCCTGGTATGGCCGAGAGTGGGGTGGGCCCTCCCTCCCTCTCGAAATGCTCCCACACGGTCACGCGTATACAGCTTCTGCCAGGGAAGTCCTACTCACTGCCTTCTCGTGGCATTACTGTTGTTTACGAAAATGAGGGGACGAAAAGCCAACGTCCGGCGCTTTAACCGGATCCCGAACCAATGGTGCACATGAGCTCCGGTATCCTGCGGGAACAAATGGCATATGAACCAATCGTTGGTCATCGGCTACCATGGGACTGCATCTCCTCACGATGCTCCACTGCCTTGTGGGTCAGACCTCTAGGTCAAAGGCTCGAGGTGTGGCCCCCTAAGAAAACCACCCGCTTCGGTTTGGGCACCCGAGCAGTATTTCAGCCCTCACACAAATCGAATGGTTTTTGTGGCGCATATCTACTTGGTGCCTCCTTGTACCAATGTTTATGTGTTTAAATAAATAAAACTGATATACTAATCGTAAAGCCTAACGTCAACCATAATTCATAACCTTAAATCTTAAAACATAACTGCAAATCTTCTTATAAATCTTGGTCTCAACCCTAATAATAATTTGTTATTAAAATATACCACTGTGATCTCTGAAAATATAAAGATATTTTTATTGGTGAAATTATTCATCATACAATCAACAGTTGACAATTCACCAGTAATAACATCTATTTTGTGATCGGTAAATGACATGTTGTCTTGATATATACACCCTGAACTTGTAATGATTCACTCATTTATGTTTGGCTTGACAGCATAATTCAGGTTTACTGATTCTGTACTTTTCTGAAGTTTGTTTATTTAAAAAAATACTATGAATGTTCGCGGCGTAGAATGTTCATTTTTCTTTTTGATTAAAACAATAACTTTTAATTAGAAATAAATATTAACTACATCCTTCGTGAGATTTAAAACACTAGTTTACGACATCTGTTTACAGAGTTGAATCCACGAGTCGATCTAAGCCAGAACATCATTGAAAACCTGGAAGCACTGTACGGCCGTTTCATCCTAGTATGGGACTCCTGAACAGTGCGCATACATTATCCCGTACGCATGGATCCAACTGTGAAAGTACTCCAATCTCCACAAATTCTCATATTGATAACAATTGTTTAATTGATTGACGTGGTTATTTCACAATGTTCATATCAAAAATGAACATTTCTAGAATTAAAAAAGATTCATGTAATGATGAAAAAGACTCTTAAACTATCGATGAACTTAGACTGCCATGATTACACTCTACTATTTTCCTAACATGAGTGTCCGTGAAAATGTCTGAACCACCTATTTTTCAACTGTGCAAACATTTCAGTTAACCTTACTGCTTTACATTTGTTTGAACTGAGTAGTTATAAATGTTAACTAAATTAAATAAAATAACAGAAACTTTTAATAATCACATACTTGTTGAGGATATCGGTTGCTAAGAAAATTTTTAAAACATAATATGGATAATTGTACATTGAATGTATATTAAAAAGAACATTTCTTGTATTCATGTACAAACGGTACCAGGAATTCTGTACTACAACATAATTTACAGTATTAAACGAAGCTCTTATTAATATCATTAATGATATCGTTAATCGACCTTGAAAAATATGATTACTTGTTGATGACCAACCTTGAAGATCTTAAATTAATTTTGAGTCATCCTGTCAAGTCCCAATTAGGATAGCTCATAAAAAATACGTTAATCTCTTCATTATTTCCTAGTCAATGATCATTCATATGATTTTAATGTGAAATAAATATTACTTAGGAATTGTATTTTATTATTGAGATTTATCAGTGCATATTTAGAAATATAAAAATAATACAGGTAATGGGCAAATGATGTTTGTCATGGATGTGCACTGCTCATAAGTTTCATGCTAGGAATTAATAGTTATCCGGTGCTTATTGATTTTTGTTAATGGTCTAGTTGAAATTCATTCATAGTTTTAATCATGAAGATAATTTTTAAGCATTTACTTTGATACCGAATAGCTCATTCAAAACTGAGCATTTAAACAATTCAAATATTGATTATTGATTTATTACGTATGAGTTACTGACACGAAAAATTTTATTGATCAAGTATACGAATAAAGAAAGAATTTTTCCAAGTACAAATCTTTTATATAGCGGAAAATGGATTGGAAAAAAAAACACCCAGTTAACTCAAATTAATTTCATTCAAGTAGTTAAAAGGAAAATGTTTCAATAATTCAGTATCATACCATCATTTTGTTAATGATCGTTTTACGTAAAACTTTTAATCCTTTATCCGCACATAATTGTTCCCCATTCGATAGTAATAGATAAACTCTTAGCCTGTATTCAATACTACCTCTTGAACCAACAAATGAACATGGACAAGCTTCAGGTAATTCAAATTCAAAAGGAAAGTATCGTTTACCAGCTAAAATAAGTTCACAACTTCCAGGGATACCTGTAATAAATTCAAGGAAGATACAAAGAGAAAAATTTATTTTATTAGAAATTTTGGTTAATACCAGGGAAACAGAGGTTTTCATATGCATACAGCTTACTCACTAACCCGAAAGCTCAATAGTAGTATCTATTAAAGTTGAATGCGAATGAATAAAGGTATGATAATTTAAGAAAGCATGGGGATTTATTTAGATTGTAATATTTTAACAACTGAATTCACGAGTTATTCTAAGCTAGACCACCGCCGAAAACCTGGACGCACTGGACGGCCGTTTTGTTCTAGTATGGGAATCCTGAACAGTGTGCATCCGCGATCCCACATATGGGACCCGAACCCAAGGCCTTCTATCTCGCGTGCAGGATCGTAGATGTGCACTGTTGACGAGTCCCATACTAGGACGAATCGGCCGTTCAATACTTCCAGGTTTTCAATGGTAGTCAAGCTTAGATCGACTCATGAATTCAACTGTTTGAATTTAAGAAAGCATGATCATTTTCAGTGTCATAGGTTCCTTCAATGACATATCTCAAGAAGAGCATAAACCAATGACAGAAATGTCTGTTGTTTATCTACATCCATCAATTACAATAAAAAACCCTTTGAAAACGGCAGATTCGAATAATCTAAAGTGAGAAAATACACAGTTCCACTGTTATACGATTTAAGTCACATAAATGAATAAGCTTCCTGCATCTGTACCACAAAGTATTTGCGATCGTTGATCACTTAGTAGTAATTAGTGTCTAGTTATCAACATTTATCAAATGCTGAAGATTAGGTAACTGCTTAACATTCCAGTAATAACTTTGTTTAAGTGGAAATTCCCTATTGATTGGTTGGATTTCCATTGTTTTATTAAGTTACATGTGAACCATTAAGGTTTATCCTGACTACATAATTGGTAGATACAGTTAAATAAACCTACAGTCTTAATAATCCAGGAATATACCAAGTAATGATCACATTGTGATTTAGTCAAACTCATTTTAACAATCGTTAGAAGCATCTATGGCATTGGTAGGCGGTTATTTGTTCAAATTATGTGTCTGTTGTATGAATAACTTAATTTGATTTACGTTAACTGAGTACCCTCCCAATACAATGTAAAACGAATTTTTTGTGTGAATATTAAATCTAGTAGTAGTAATATTTTACGATGAATGATTCGATAATAAACATCAGTGAGAGGTCAAAATAATCATCTAATCTAAAATTGTTTAGTTAAATATAGGGAAACACTTTCAAGTTAAATTACCAAATACTCAGAATCTCCATTAACTGTGACTTATTTTTTGTACGAAAGTATACTTGTACACTATTTCAGTAGTGTTTTTTAGAGCTAACTGTAACACTAAACCACTTTTATCGTTTTTACCTTGGAAAAACAATCAGGAAATAATCAGCAGATCGTTTATACTTTTGAGACTTTAAGAAAAGATCAACTAGGCTTTGAAGATGATTTCAAAAGTTACAGGGAAAAGCTGATACAGAATATCTCACTAAAATCCGAGAACCATACAGTATATAGTTAACTTGCAAAAATACCAATCAGTTGTCTCAAACTTGACTGTTCCTTTTGCACATCTCAGTCCATCGTCTCAGATTTGTTTGTGTATTTTCATACCAATTTCTTTCCGTTCCCGTTGTTTCCTTCTCGATCTTCTACCAAAATACATTCTATTCCTGACTATCGTCATATACTACTTATGTGTATATAAGTAGCGCACACCACAATACAATACAAATGTCAGTAACAGAATCATGATGATATTGAAAAGAACGACAGTAAAAGCTTCTAAATTATACCATCTAGCTCAAGGACCTGAAAAATACTTAAAGTATTCACCGAAACTGTAAATCTCCACCGTTTCGAAATTTCAATATTGTCATTGCCAAAGTTGTTACTTAACACTCAAAGATATACAGCTTTTGAAAAAGTGTAATTAATAACTGTACTTTATTTACGAGAAAAATTAGTATTTATTTTTAAAATAACTGAAATCGTTCTAGCTAAGTTATCACTAAGCTTAAGGAAACTAATTCCGAACCATTGCTCACGGCTGCTAGCTCATTTATAATTAGACTTTAAAGTTGAAATCTAACTTTTCACATCTCTTACTTCAGTTAGTGGACGATTTTGGTCAATATCTGTCCTACGTAGCTAAGCTGCACTAGTCATAGCTTCTCACTTGAGCTTCGGTTAATTCGTTTTGTAATATATATTCATACTGAATAAATCACATAAAAACTCTATCTCTAAGAATATTTAGTTCTGAACATATTTGCTTGTCAAGGTATATATGGTAGGATATTTTAGAACTTTATATAATCACAAATTTCTCAGATAACCTTTTTACAAATAAGCAACTTATGGAGAAATCAGATGACCTGATGATACTATCTTCTCAAGGAAACTTCGACCATTTATGAGTAACATATCAGGGAAAATTTACATAAACCAGATATGATTACTTTACAAACTGAAAATATGTTACTGAGATACTTTGCTCACTAAATACTCAGGAATCTCATTAATATAGTTTTTGTAGAGAACGTCGTTGAGAAAGTAGTAATCCATCTTAAAGGAACTTAAAATTACTCTAAAGGTTCTATTTAAAGAAATGGGATGTTAGCTATGAGCACCTTCTTGAATGAATTATTTACAATAATATAAAGATACAAGAGCGTGATCACGTTGCTGAAGATAAATTCCTTGTATACTGGAAATGAAAGAGTGACATTTTGTATGAGATTATTGTAAGCTATACAAAATGACTTCTATATTTTAGAAAAACTTCCCTGCATTTTCACTAATAAGTTATTCTAATAATCTATCATCAATGAACCACTACAAACAAAATACATCAGATTCTTCATGCAAACTTATCAATTCTCTATTATAGGGGCGTTTCACTACACAATATTTTATGAGGCATTTAAATATAAAAAAGATAATGAGGAGGATAGCAGATATTTAATTGATGTAGAAGTAAAATTGAAGAATTTTGCAGACGAGAGAATTAAGAAATGGTATCAGTTCATGGAGTCATTGACTACTGATCGGGATGATGATGACACATTACCTGGTTGAGGTAAGGAAATTAACCGTAATCTGTAGCTAAAGAATTAGCGTGATACGGCTTGTATCAGTCATAAAGGTCAAGATCCATTCACTCTTCCACCTTGAATCACAGTATTCTTTTAGGTAAACTTTACATTTCGATTTTTACCAATGATGTACCCAATGTTTAGTTTTTCTCAGTATCATTGCTGCTAAATTATTTCGATCTCTCTAGCTATTGATCTTGTAATTTACATTTGATCATACTAATGTGGTATGGTAACTTGGGCCAACGCACATCCATTAGGCTCTATATTCGTGATGATTGACCAACTTTGAAGTAACTGGATAATCTTTTATCATTAAGTCATCAAGAAATGTTTTTTGTTGTTGTGCCTTTTATGTTCTCTCAGAAACATCCCAAAATCAAATGTTAACTGAAAAGGTACTTTTATTTAAACAAAATTTCAACCAGTCAATATTGGTTAATAGATTTTAAAATAAATAGCTGTGAGTTTCCAAATACCCGACACTTGTGCTCTTCGTATTTACTGAATAACTGGAATATCTATATATATATATATATATATATATATAACTCCATAACTGAAGCCTTTGTTTTGACAAAATAATATTTTTTATGTCCACTTGGTGTTGCTTTACTTTTATCTTCCCACTGTTATTCAGGACTGCGACTGATGAGTCTCTTATTGGCATATGTGCATCTTGTGCGGATTGCCTCGATATAGCCCTAAGTCACAAGCTTTTTAAGCAAAGATGGATAGTGGCTAGCAGTGGAAACCAGGACGCGTGTTTCGTCCTATTTGGGACTTGTCAGCCGGGTGTATCTGCATCACAGAGTTGATGTTCACTCCGGGACTCGAACCGAGCACCGTTCGCTTCAAACACCATCGTATTATTCACTTAGCTACTGAGTCCTGATAGCCACCTGCTTGTGCACCTCGTGTTGTTTTACTTGTATCTTCCCACTGTTATTTAGGACTGCAATTAATCAGTCTCATGTTGGCTATGTGCATCTTGTGCGGATGACTTCGATATACCCTAAAGTCAGAATATTCTTTATGTATATGATTAAAACAAATAAAATAAAACTGTGATATTCTCTATTTAATATTTTGTTATTCAAAGTTAATCATTCACTACTACAAATCGATTCATCTAACTTATATCCTTTCTTACTTCAAGATAAATGAGTCATTATCATCATCAACATTAACATCATCATCATCATCATATATCTCTTTGTTATTATCGAAATTTTGTCTTATTTTTCTATGTTTATCAAGTCATAGATGACAAGTTACCGTTTCAGTCTAATAATCTTATGTGATATCAAAAAGAAAATAAAGAAGAAAAAAAAGAAAAAAAAAGAAAAATAATAACTGATCAAATTTTTTGATGTTTAGTTGCTTGTTTGTGTGTTCACAAAGAAAAAAAGAAAAAGAAAAATGGAGCACAAACTGACGTTAAACAAATAAGTGCCATTTATCAATTCTTTTCACAATTTCAATTTAACATTGTTTATAAGAGTGAATAAAACAAAATATATTTTGATTCAGATAGCAATTTTTTTTAATTTTGAAAAAAAACCATGTAAACAAACAAATAAATAAATGATTTTCAAATGTGATATAATTTAGATAATAATAATAATAATAAGCTTAACTTAATCTGAACCATTTCATCCTGGTATTAATAAGGGATTAACATGAGAATAGGATTATCCTATGAAAATAGATGAGTAGAAATGTATATTATTGATATCGATATAATTTCTGAAGAATATGAGTATGAAATTTATTTAGAAGTTTGACTTTATTAGCTAAAGCATTGAAACCTTAGATCTTGAGGATAAAACACAACATTCTTATATCATTGAGTAAAAGTGGAATGTTCTGCTTATGCCTAGCTTAAATGATTATTTCATTTCATAAATTATACAAGTTTTACTTAATTAAACGTTCTTGGTACAGCTTCAGGAATCTATATCAAATCTAGTTATTAGTATGTACATAATTTTAATACATAAAAGAACATGGTAGATACTGATCGTTGTTAGAATATACAGAAAGCGTTCTGTTTTTGTGATTCATCGTATAAATCATTAGTTATCTGAATACATTGGAATATTCAGCAAATATGAACCTGGAAGTGTGATGCTGGTTAGCGTAGATTTATGTTGGAAAAAAGCATAGGATTATTCCTGATTAACAGTTGAACTGAGCTTTGTTGGTAGATTCTAACTATCTGATTTGAGTCTTGGCTACTACCATAACCATTAGTTAGAGAGGTTATACGACATAGTTTAGGAAAAGTTACAGTGACCCAGTTGCGTTCACTCTATCTTCTCTTAAGTTTTTGAGTTTTAAAATTATCGTATACATTTTGTATTCCAGTAATTCATTCTTTCTTCTGAGATCATATTGTCTATGTCTAATCTTTCCTATTGCCAGTGATATAATTATTACTTCTACCAATCTAGTGTTTGTTTTTAAAATTTCGTCCTTCTTTGCTGAAATGGTGTGGAAAATTGTGCCTATGTACATTTGTACAAGGTCTTATATTGCTTATCACTGACTGGCTAGTTTATATACAAAAGGAATTTATCGTCAGTATTAGATTCGAAAATAAATCACATTACGAACCGATTTAGTGGCAGTAATAGGTGTTCTCAAATTAAAAAAACTAAACTGTACACAAAGAAAGTAAGTCACTACAGGTAGCAAAATATTAGAATGAAGCTACATTTGGCTAAAATTAAAGATTTCAGTGTACTTATTTTGTTGTTACGAAGTAATGCTAATTGCCATACTTGATTTATTATGACATGATATTTTAAACTGGTTTTTATAAGAAAACTTACTTTACGTTCATTATATAAGATTATCCTAGACTTACTGCAGCATACAGTAGGTGACATGCTGTCGATAATACTTATTTGTAATTAATAAACTTCTACTTCGATGACATTTTATTTCTTTGATTTTATAGGCAAATATGATGTTACAAACTATAAGATAGTCCATTATTTTACTGATTGTTTGAATCATCCCATTGATGTTTAGAACTGTAATTGATTAGTCTCTTATTAGCATATTTGAATTTTGGGCGAATTGCCTCTATATTGTCCGTAGATCACAAGCATTATAAGCTGAGATGGATGGTGGCTAACAGTGGAATCCGGGACTCACGTTTCATCCTATTTCAGACTTGTCAATACATATGCCTATAAGAGACTGATAAATTGCAGTCCTAAACGTCAACGGGAAGATTCTAAAAACCAATACACAAATGAATTAGACTTCACGTCATTGCACAAAGCAGTGGCTATCTGAAATCATCCATCTCTGCATATAAACTATAAAACAGAATAACAATTCAGATTGTTGGCCGTTTGTGTTGGAGCATACTTATGCTAGTATTTAATAGATATTTTTGGGAGGTAAATAAATTATTGTATCAGATGCTGCATTTTAAAACAGCTACATATGTCTTCAACCCTTACTTGTTGCTTTTAAATAAAAAGACTTGCAAGATTTACGTGACTAAAAATTTCATTTCATTAATCAGGTTTATGGATTAAAATTGAACTGTGCTAAAGAAAATTAATTCAGAAAGACAAGAATAATAAATGTATCAGAATAATCTAAATTCATTTACTTCATTGATTCTTTTCAACTGCTTAAAACCTAGATATAATAATACTACGATACTATTTTACATGTACGTGCCGAAGCACATAGATTGGAAGAACAGAAAAAAGAGTTATAGTTCTCAATCGCAAGTAAGTTACAACTAGGAGGTCAATATGCTATCAGGAGATCGATAATTCGTCAACTATTTGACAGTGAACAAGATGGTTTCATTTCGTAATCCTTTAAAATTGTCGATAAACAAACTGAATATTATATATCGATGTGACATTTTAATGTGAATATAGCTGTAAATAGCTGATAAGAAATCACGAAATAAAACGAATTCATGTTAATGTGTCTTAACTATTGTTTTCGGTTTTATTCAAATTTGTAAAGGGAATCAATTTAGTAAAATCATTAAATATACTGGTACCTTTTATACATTTATTTATTTGAAACATAAACATTTTGAAATCATGGTGTAAATTAAGATGATTACTAAAGTGGGAGATAAAATGTATGACCAATTTAGGTACATTTAACAGTTTTAACAAAAATGGAATCTAGAACCCTTATTTCGACGTAGTTGGGACTCGTCATCTTGAAGTACCACTATTCCAATCTTGGTATTAATGCTAGAACTGAAACGCATTACCTTTCACTTCAAATTCCTAAAGCCTTATGGACTAAGCTACTTATTTCATAGAGTTACTAACTTATTTAATGAGTGTAATGTTAATATCATTAGTATTATTGGTTTGAGTTAACACATTGTTCATATTATGGACTGAATTTTGTCCAGTCTTTTTTAGCATAACTACATTTTGCTTATAGCGACAAGTAATTTATTCCAAAAAACTTACAACATAAAGTGTATATAGAAGCAATCCTCACAGTGATATATTCGATTTCGTCACGAGACATATCAATTGTTGTGTTGATCTAAGAGGTTTATTTTTATTATTTCCAAAAACTACTGATTTTCATAAAATCGCAAACACAATTTAACATACCTCCTCCAATTAAAGTTGAATTCATAGAACAGTAAATTTCTTCGTTAACAGTTTGAAATGTCGGTGCAAGTTTATTGAATCCTTTCATAGATTTACATTTTAAACGTGTTTGTAATATTTCAGGATCTACTGGTCCATTTATACCCGATATAACACAACCTACGCCTTGATAAGACGGAAAGTTTTGTTGTAATGATTTTCTCTCTTTTGTCCAACCCTTTATGAAATGTTTAGAAGAGAATATCTTCTTGCAAGGTGTGACAACAACTCCTCTTCCAAGCAGTTCCACTTGCAAAACTGAAGTATGATAAACAAGTACAGATTCTCAATTTTTCACAATAAAAATTATGGATCTAAATAAGTATAAACATCAATGGCATAGTGGTTAAAGCTAAATATTTTTATTTTTCAGCACTAAATACAGATTTAATTATATATATATATATATATATATATATATGTCTGAGGCCATGATGAAAAACTCATTGAAAAGAAATTTTCTCGCCTTATTCCTCGCTTCACTAAGGTTCAAAATGAGAATTTTCACTATGATTAATTACAAGTTCAAACAACCATAAGTGATAGTTGGGACCAAACTTATGACTTGTTTCATTTATGTGTTTCGCATTCATGAAGCACGATTTTCTTGTCCTTACATTAATTGGGGTACTGAATGCTAACAGATTATGCAGCTATTTATATACATGTTCTATCATTCTTAACTGTAGTGTTCCGCTACTCTTCCACATGTACGTGTGTCTGAACACAAATGCACATGCATGTAATTACATTTTAAGTCCTTGGTTGGTATAAATTCTGATACTTTCCATATTATGTAGTTTTTTCTGTGCCTTATTTTGAATCATCTCTTTTCTTTTTGCTACAGTGACCTTTATTAGTTTTAGTGCCTTGAATAATATGTGTGATCAGACTGTTCGAAATATATGGAATAAATACATCATATTTTTAAAATAAACTCCATCTTCTCATTACGCAAACTGAAAATTTGTAAAAGGGCACTAATAATTTAATTTTCTTTAATTCTTTAGTTATCAGCGATTTACTAAACACAATTCAAATATGAAGTGGGGAACTGTTTTTTTATAAGCAAGTGTATTGTCTGTGCTTATTGTCTGATGATTACGTATAATAAACTAGAAACAGGCATACTGGTTTTCTTAAAAAAACTCAAAATTTCAGGAAGAAATACTAACTTTAATTGAAATATACTAAACATGTATGGAAGCAGTGTTTAATTACACAAAAATATGAATTCTCGACTGTATATTCTGTATAATTCATATCTCCTGTTACTCTTCGTGGAGGAGCATAGGCAGACCACCATCAGATATCTCCTAGAATTATTAATATTATACATACAGATAGACATTAATTTGAAGATAAAAACCCATGAATACAACTGTATTCAACTGATGCGTTTAAAAATTGAACGAAATAGAAATTAAAGATTTCCTTAACAGATATTATCAATAACACAATACTAATAATTTGATCAAGTTATTGAGGAATTGCAAATTTTTACTAGTAATGAACAATACACAATATTATTAGCTGAATTCATGAGTCAATATAAGCTAAATCACCACTGAAAACCTAGAAGCCCTGGATGGCCGCTTCGTCCTGGCATGGGACTCCTCAACAGTGAGTATCTACGATCCCGCAGGCGAGAATCGAACGAAAGACCTTTGGTCTGGCGCACGAACGTCCAACCTCTAAACCACCATGCCGGTATCCAACGGTGATGATGTCTAACTTCAATAGATTCATGGTCTTGCACAAACCTTTATCCATTGCCTGAGGAGTCCCATAGCTTCCAGGTTTTCAGTGATGATCTAGCTTATATTGACTCATGAATTCAACTATTCAAATGACTACAACCTCCATAAATCCTAATTCCCATCATATACAATATCAATGGTTGAGATCATGAGTCAATTTAAGCTAGACCATCATGAAAAACCTGGAAGCACTGGACGGCCGTTTCGTCCTATTGTGGGACTCCTCGACAGTGCGCATCCACGATCTCGCCTCTCGCGAGATTCGAACCTTGGACCTATCAGTCTCGTGAGCGAGCGCTTGAACATTAGATCCCTGAGCCAGCATCCAATAGTGTTAATATCTAACTCCAACTAATCCATGAAATTGAGTGACACACCCACCATTGTCTTCATTGGGTTTCTATTTCACAACAGACCCGGTTGAACTCCAGTGTTTACTGCTTCTCACTAGAACTCCAGGAAATACCTCTTGGAGACGGTCACTAGTGAGCATATGTTGATTATAATGATGATTATACAATATGTTTATAGCAATAACAATTATAACAATTACTTACTTTGTATACTTAAAGCTTCTTTAGTCTCTAGATAAACATAACCATGAATTAATTGTCCACTAAAACATACCGGTAGAATAGATGAATCTAAAATAATATCTAAGAGAATACGTTTTTTCAGTTCATCCATATTTACATTTTTATATGTAATATATGCATTAGACATTTGAAATTAGTTTTCTTATTATTTAATCACAGTATAATCGAAATAAAAAAGTTAACCGCTGTTTTGTTTTCTTTTTTTGTTGTTTTGGAACGAATTTCAACATAATGTACATAATTTCTTTCTAGCATATACTTTAAGTACCGGAATATTAATGATTGAATATATTATTTTTCTTTTCTAAATATGATTTTATGTCATAGTTGAGATTGAATGTTAAAAGTAAAGTGGAAACGTTTAAATTCTTTATATGAACCCAATGTACATATTAAACTGTTCTCAACAAAAGTATATTAATAACCATTTACTCTTTATATATACATATATATATATATATCTGCATTGAAACTTGAATTTAGCACTTCATTAAAACAAAACAATATTAGTAAGCATAAATGTGAACTGATAGTTAGGTATTCATTGTTATTGGTTATTTTTATTCATGTGAATCACACACACACATACACATCTCTTCATCATAATTTAGTTGGATAAAAAAATAATGACAAAGAAAATAATAATTTATATCGGATTACATGACTTATTATAAGTGTCTAATTCAAAATAAAAAAGGAAAGGAGATGGAATCATTGAAAAAAAGCTTTAACTAGTTCTATGTGTGTGATTTGAAAGTCTTAACTAAAATAGATGTCCAGTCAAATAGAAACAGATTGTGTAATATAAGGATGTTCATATTACTCAAGCACATAATACAGTTGTAAATATTCCAATGCTGTTTATGTTAACAAGACAGTTATACAATATGTAGTGATCAACAATATATAATGTATATATATATATATATATATATATTCGATACTGGTTGTCTGGATTGATATTAATATTTATGTTAACATAGGTTATAGATATACAACAATCAATGTACATATAACACTCAAAACATTTCATTATTAGGACGGTAAAAACAAATACCTATTCACATACCTATATACAAACATACACAAAGTGAAACGATATTGACCAAGTTCACATTTACTAGAGAAAAATCAACAAAACAACAACTACAACAACATAACATTGAACACATTATTCCACTGAAGTTTTTTGTGTGCACAAAATCAATATAACTAGTGAAATGAGTTGTTAGCAATGTAAATCACTCATGTATACCTAAGTGAATGTACCATGTATTTTTATTTAATGTACACTATTATTATTATTATTACTATTATTATTTAAATGTGCAATATACATCCATTGTCATTTAATGTTATTTCATTCAAGGTTTCTAATCAAAAAGTTAGTCTTAAATAGTAAAATGACTAAGTGCTACCAAAAACGTTTTGACTTCACATATACTTTAAAAGTAATAATACCTTAATATGTTTTAGAGAAGAAAAAAGAGAAGAACACGAGGAAGAAGAAGAAGAAGAAGAAGAAGAAAGAATACGTAAATTTGTTCAGTTATCTTGAGTTTTCATCATTTTTAAAGATGAAATAAAAGATAGAGAATTGTGTCAAGTTATTATGGCATTGAATATTGGATGATAAACGTGTTTACACTTATAATAAATTTAAGGTTAGCTAATTAAAAAGAATAAAATATAATAATGTTTAAGGTGAAATTTCGTCACATAATGCATAGGTAAAGAAATGTATGATACAATTTATAGTAAACTTATTTGTCACTGATTGAATGTAATTGAAAAGAAGAGTGATTTGAAATGAGAACTGGAGTATAAACAGTTGGGTGAATTATTCTTGGTGGTTTCTCAGAATTAGGTTGATAATACTATCGGTCCGACAACATGATACTGTTAAATGCTGTGTGACGGTTTGATGTAGAAATTAAAACGAACCACAGTTACATAGATGGTACTGTGAATGGATGGTAAGTTTATTGATGAGGATGTGAATCATGATCATTTGAGATGGTTGGGAAGAAATCTAGGCGAGGTCAAAACTAAGAAATAATATTAGTTCAGGAAATCATTGAGACTTAGGATTAAATTCAAACTGCTTGATTGGCGTCTCTGGGATTGACGTTAAAGATAGTTGGTTGGTATATTTAAGGATTAATTACATTAGACTAGATGCAATCATTTCATCCTTTTGTACTGATATGGTGTGACAGCTTGAGTTGAAGTACGTATGTTTCAGGTTCTATGTTGCTTATGACCAACTGTAATAGAGGAAAACAGCCAGACTACTCAGAACAAAAACTCATAGAATAATAAAACGTCACTTGAAGATACAACAGTTTCATTACTTTTGTTTTAAATATGTTTACATGTACTCCTTACGCTTATTTAATTAATAATAATAGTTATGAATTGAATAAATTTGTAAACACACTATTTGTTAAACAAATAACTAATGAAATATTACAATACAGATTAACTTTCCATAGCTTGATATATCAAATTTCGTTACCTAGATCTCTATGGAAAACTATAGATATAATTCATCATCAAACATAAAACATAGTTGTTGCAGTCAGATTTACTTTACATCAACACTAAATCATGTTATATAACAATTGAAAACCTATTGGAATCACACAGCTGTCTTGTTTTAATATGGTGCTTTTCAACAACGTGGTAGCCTTAATCATATTATGTATCGAACCCTGGAGATTCAGATATTACGTTGAACGATTAACGTTTAAATCAACGGGTTACCATTTAATTCATGATGTTGTACTATCGATTCTACTTGTCCTATCCCTAACTCACATCACGGCTTCTCCTTTGAAACTCAGGAAGACTTTTCATAATTAAACACCTGTGAGTAAATAACTTTTATTCATAGTATGGTTAGTTTGTAGAGATTGATCACTTTGTTGTTTACAAACTACATTGATCAAAAAAACTATTCATCAACATCAAGTATACGGGACCTAGAAAAAAGTATTTACCTGTTAATCAACTTTCTCTTTGCAAATCAATAATATTTCGTTACAATTTAATAATTGAGTATTTGTAAAATGAAAAATAGTTATGAGATGGTGGAGAAGATTTGTAGCTCAGGTGGATGATTTTGATGGAGTTTTGTTCTCTGAGCTGGATGGTTTGGTCGTGGAGCTTTCATCGTTCTTCTGAACGACATCATCAGCACAAACTTCAGATTGAAGTGAAGTGTTCGATTTTCTCCATATGTGTTTCACAGCTTGTTCTGTGCACCTCGATGTTGATTGGTTCTTGTTGACCTTAAATTTATCATTGTTCACTTCTTTGTTTAGGTTGTGTCTCCCATTGTTTTGATTTTTGTTCTTATATATATGCATGATTTTTCTGATTGGTTGATAAATTGGATTGATTTCAATATGTTTGTTTATTGCTGATTGACCTGAGTGCCAGGCTTCTAGAAATTCTCTGGTGTTTTTGGAGTTTCCTCTGTCTAAGATTTCTACATTTTCCCAATCGAATGAATGTCCGTAGTTATCCACGTGTATTGAAATAAGTGAAGAGATATCATGGCGTTTGACTGCTAATTGATGTTCATGTAGGCGTAGGTGGAGGGGGCGTCCGCTTTGTCCGATGTAGTGTTTGTCGCAGTTGGTACAATTTATTTTGTAGATAATGTTTGATTTGTTCTCCTTTGTTATTTCATCTTTTGGTTTGCATAAGATTGATTGTAGTGATTTTGTTGGTTTGTGTGCCACTCCTATCCCGAAGGTTTTCAGCAGTCTCGTTGCAGTTTCTGATATTCCTTGTATGTACGGTAGGGTGATCCTTTTACTGATTTTTGTGCTTGACTTGGGTTGTGATGCTGTGTGCCGTTGGTGCTTTTTGATGAAATTGATTGGGTAGCCGTTCTTTTGGAATATGTCCTTCAGGTATTTCTCTTCATTTCTTCGTGCTGCCAGTGTGCTGCAGTGTGTTCTCGCCCTCTTGAACAATGTGTGTACGCAGTTGATTTTGTGAGCCCTTGGGTTGTTGCTGTTGTAGTTGAGAATTTGATCTGTATGGGTTGGTTTCCTATATACTTGAGTTTCCAGTTTTCCTGTATCAGTTCTAGTGATCAATATATCCAAAAATGCTAGTTGGTTGTTTGACTCCTGTTCCATTGTGAACTTGATGTCATTGAAGACGTTGTTGATCAATTTGTATGTGTTTTCCAGTTCATCCTTTTTGACGATGACGAAGGTGTCGTCTACGTAGCGAATCCAAATTTTTGGTTTGATCACTGGTAATATCGTGGCTTCTAGTCGTTGCATCACTGCTTCTGCGATCAGTCCTGATATTGGTGATCCCATTGGTGTCCCTTTTGTTTGTTTGTAGATTTTGTTGTTGAATTGAAAATATGTCGTAAGGCATAAATCGATGAGCTCCAGTAGACTTTGAATTTGAAGCGTCGTGTATTTGGTGAGATTTGGGTCGTTGTTGAGTAGTAGGGATATAGTTTCTTTTGCTAACTGTGGTTCAATTGAGGTGAAAAGTGCTGTTACGTCAAAGGATATCATGAGTTCGTCGTTGTTGATTAGAATGTCCTTAATTTGGTCCAAGAATTGTGTTGGGGATTTGATGGAGTGTTTGGCTGAGTCTACTAGATGTCTCAGTATTCGTGAAATTTCTTTTGATAAATTGTACGTTGGCGTTCCAGGGAGTGCTACTATTGGACGTAGTGGAATGTTCGGTTTGTGTATTTTGGGCCTGCCGTAGAATCGAGGGAGTACTGGTCCACTGGATTTCATTCTCCATTGGTCTTGTTTTGTTATTTCTCCTGCTTTGACTAGCTTGTTTAAAGTCTTTGAGATTTGGTTGTCTAATTTTTTGACGGGATTTGTGTCCATCAGTTTGTATGTGCTCTTATCTTTGAGTAGTTCTTCGGCTTTGTTGACGTATTCTTCTTTGTCCATGATTACTGTGGTGCGTCCTTTGTCCGCTGGTATTATGACAATATCCTTTCTATTTCTGAGTTCTTTCAAGGCCTTTTGTTCCCGTGGAGTCAGTTGGTTGTTTTCTTTCACCTGTTGAGTTATCGGTACCAACTGCGACAAACACTACATCGGACAAAGCGGACGCCCCCTCCACCTACGCCTACATGAACATCAATTAGCAGTCAAACGCCATGATATCTCTTCACTTATTTCAATACACGTGGATAACTACGGACATTCATTCGATTGGGAAAATGTAGAAATCTTAGACAGAGGAAACTCCAAAAACACCAGAGAATTTCTAGAAGCCTGGCACTCAGGTCAATCAGCAATAAACAAACATATTGAAATCAATCCAATTTATCAACCAATCAGAAAAATCATGCATATATATAAGAACAAAAATCAAAACAATGGGAGACACAACCTAAACAAAGAAGT